CTCTCTCTCTCTCTCTCTCTCTCTCTCTCTCTCTCTCTCTCTCTCTCTCGCTCTCTCCATCACTCTATCTTGCTCTATTGTTCTTTCTCCAGTCGATAATATGATTTCCAGACACTATCGTAAGGTACACTGGATACTTGCCCATCAGACCTGGGTGCGATCTCTGAGCAGTGGAGCCAGCATGTGAAGCCCGAGCCTATCGAGATTGAAGACTCGCCACTCCGATCCGGCCAAGTTGTGCAGCCTAAGAAGCCGAAGCAGGTAGTCACCCCGCCGCCGCAGGAAGTCTCCACAGCAGGAATTCCTTTGTTGACAGCTTCAGGGGATGTGGCTGGGGGTGACGGTGCAACCCCGGCTCCTGCTGGGAACTCCATGCTACGTCGTGCAAATGCTTACGATGAGGAGGACTGGGGTTTGTAGGTAGGATATACCGTCCTAGAATGCATATAGCCGCTAAGTTGATTCTGTGTTGTCGCAGGCCATGAAGGACCTCAGCAAGGAGAGGCAGGATAAAGTTGCACAGCAAAGGAAGGATGAGGAGCAAGCAGAAGCCGCCGCAGCGGCTGCAAGCAATCACAGCGGGGAGGGGAAAGGTGGCCGTGGGGGAAGAGGCCGTGGTGGCCGTGGGGGTAAAGGCGGCGGTCGAGGAAGAGGCCGTGGTAGGAAGGGCTCCAGGCCAAAGGATGGCGAAGAGGCACAGGAGCAGAAGGAAGCAGAGGAGGAGGAGCAGCAAGCACCGGAGCAGCAGGAAGCAGAGCAACCGAAGTTGCCCAAGGTTTTGTCGCCGAACAAGAAGCCAAAAAGCAAAGCAAAGAAAGCGATGCAGGAAGCAGCAGCAGGAACACCCCGGAAGAGCCCCAAGAAACCCAAGGCGAAAGCAAAAGGAAAGGCCAAGCAGGCGGCAAAAGAGGCAACGGAGCAGGAGGGTGATCCCGCAAAGAATGCTGCCGGCAGACCCATCCGCAAGCGCAAGGATGTCCCGGAGGATGAGAAACTCAAGCGACAGTCCTACGAGATTCCTTCTTACAGTTACAGTCAGTGGTCCATCTACTGGACCAAGAATGCAGTGGGGCTGAAGCTGAAAAACGTGGAGACCGATTGTGGGAAGCAGGCTTGTAAATCCTTGTCTAATGTCATACCCTACAGCTCTGATGTTTGGTATTGTGCAATCCGAAAGGTTGTCTACCTCGCCAACCCCAACGTTTCCATGAAGGATCACTTGGACTTCGCGGCGACATGTGCCACCCTAGCTTGAATGACGGTCTGTATGCACTCGGCCGTGTGACATTCTCTGAGATGCAACACATGCAAGTCGCATGCCTACCACCGCCTGTTGTGCATCCCAGGCTAACATCATCGAGCAGGCAAAGGGCAAGCTCGATGAAGACACGAAGGCATCCTTGCATGCCTGCAAGATGCAGTTCCGCGAAGCGGGCAAGCAGCAGTGCTAATGTTGATGGCTTTCGGTTCCGTGAAAAAACACGGGCTTGTTGCCTCAGGCCGGCCTGGCTTGCATGCAATGACAAATGGTATGTTACTCTAGCTTGTGTGGTTTTCGCTGGCACCACATCGAACCGGATGTTGTTCGTGTCTGCAAGCCGAAGCCGAGCAGCTGATTTTGGCATCCTGTACTTGGAGTTGTTGTGACGGCTACCTTGTGCGGGCCGATGATTAGAGTCGCCAGTTTGACTCGAAGGGGTGTCAATCAGGTGTAGAGGGCCTTCTAATAAAGCAAACGTCGTAAGAATACACTGACTACCACAGGATTTGTGCAGAAGACGAATGCGTTTTGGCCCCTATGCTTGATGGGTTCACTGCATACTTTCAAGGTCTTTAAGCGCCACACGAGATTTGATCCGATGTGTGAAACAATTGCACTCCTGTGAGTTTGCATGCACTGGATGCCGAGCATACATGAGTTCAATCCGGGTAGGCGCCATGTGCTTAAGTACCACCCAGACCAATTAACTGTAGAACCCCCGCGAACCCGCAGTGTCGTTATCGCTACAGCAACCTTCATGAAGCAAAGCTATCTAAGCACACCCATGAAACCCTATACCTTCGAGCCCCAAGGTGCGATGGTCCACGATGCGAAGTTCGGCACTGGCCAAACAGCAGGTGTGCCCTCCGCCCGGCATTCCTCGGCTTGGGATTGGGTTAGCTAACTGAGTAGTGCAAGGTTGTACTTAGAGGGCTATAGGGATGTAGTTGAGGTGGCAGAAATACTATACGCCCAGTAGTATACAATAATGATAAAGGGGAATAGTCGTGTACCCTCAACCCGCCCCGCCCCAATAAACCTTCCACCGAATAACACCGGGCTCAATCACATTCCTGAAACCATCAACTCCGGTAGCAGGAGCAGTAGCAGCAGTAGTAGTAGTACTACTAGTACTAGTACTAGTAATACAAATACGTGTACTATAGTCTTAGTATTGGTATTCGTAGTAGAACAGGTACTAGTATTATTACTAGTACTGGACGAGTACTAGCACTATAGTACCAGTACCAGTACTTTACTAGTTGTGGTAACAATAATAATAGTAGCAGTAGAAGTAGTAGTAGTAGTAGTAGTAGTAGTAGTAGTAGTAGTAGTAGTAGTAGTAGTAGTAGTAGTAGCTAGTAGTAGTAGTAGTAGCAGTAGTAGTAGTAGTAGTAGTAGTAGTAGTAGTAGTAGTAGTAGTACTAGTAGTACTAGTAGTACTAGTAGTACTAGTAGTACTAGTAGTACTAGTAGTACTAGTAGTACTAGTAGTACTAGTAGTATTAGTAGTACTAGTAGTACTAGTAGTACTAGTAGTACTAGTACTAGTACTAGTAGTACTAGTACTAGTACTAGTACTAGTACTGGTATGTTTTCCTTTTCGTTTGCCCTCTACAGGGAGGGTTGATGGTGAGACAACCCGGGGGCAAATGAAAAGGAAATAGTAGTAGCAATAGTCGTAGTAGTAGCAGTAGTAGTAGTAGTAGTGGTAGTCGTCGTGGTATGTTTTTCTTTTTCGTTTGCCCCCTACAGGGAGGGTTGATGGTGAGACAACCCGGGGGCAAATGAAAAGGAAATAGTCGTAGTAGTAGTAGTAGTAGTAGTATTTAGTAGTAGTAGTAGTAGTAGTAGTAGTAGTAGTAGTAGTAGTAGTGGCGGTGGGAGTAGTACTCGTAGTAGTACTAGTAGGTAACATAGGAGTCGTCGTTGTAGCAATCCTGATAGTAACCATATGTCATAGTCTATTCATGCAGCTGGCAACGTTGAGCTCTTTAGCGCTTCTCACACATCCGACAACCCTGCTGCAGCTACTCCAGCCCAACGAGATACCCCAACCACCAAACCCACTGACAGTGTTTGTCCTGTAGGATAAAAACTGACACCGTTCGAACTCCTCGGAGGACTCCTCATAGGTTTTAGGGTTTTAGATTTAAGCTCTTCTTGTAGGTCTAATTTGTGGTTGGTGGGGTTCATAGGACCCGGGGAGTTAGGGTGTTTAGGGATTCAGGTTTGTGGGGTTGGGTATGAGTCGGTGTGCTTCTAATGGCAGTCTAGTTTGGGATGAAAGCTTGCATGTGCATGCGCTCACAATCAGGAGGCAGGTGCTACTGCTACATGTGCCCGAACACCGCATCGTAGATTGCAGGTGCATGTGCAGTGTAAATTGCCCGCAGTCGCAGTGCTACCATGGTCTTGCATCAGTTACCAATGCAGAATTTCCCATAGCTTTGCTGCCACGGCCCAATCATGGTCCGCTCCTCTGAGATGGAAACTGTGATTCGGAGGTTGATTGCTTTGGAGGCACCCAAGGATCTTTGGCTGAATGGTAGGATCATCTGCTTCAGTGTGCTGTCCGTAGTTGTTGTGGCATGAATGACCTAAGACCTTCATCCTACTGGTCTTCCTCGTGAGTTGGCACGCCCAATCAAAGCTCGACAAGTACGAATATGATGTCATCGAGTTTTTTGCAGGTGTCTCTATGATTGCTAGAGTCGCTCGGATGCACGACCTCAGAGCAGTGGCCCTGGATATTACTTTTGATCGGGTGACCAATCGCCCTGGGGCCATGGACCTGACAACCCCGTCGGGCTTTGCGTTTCTTACTTGCACTAGATTACAATCAGGTGTTCTAGATGGTTCTGATTTTGCTTGCCTTTAACACCATGCAAATCCTTAGGTTGGCAATCATGGCTTGTCTACGTGGGAAGCTGGATGGTCTTCTGAGTATATGGGGGGTATGCTGCTCCTCGTGGGTGATTACCTCCAGAGGGTCTACTGGACGGTCCTTCCTAACTCCGATGGGGTTTGATGGACATACGAAAGTTCGCCAGGCAAACGTGATCGGCTCGAGGCACTCCAGGGATCTTTATAAACCCCATCTATATATATCCCCTAGAGCCACAATTATTGTGCGGTAGTTTGGGGATTCTGCACGGTTCAATGGTTCAGGACATCGTGTATAGATATGGGTTCTCGGGTCGAGAGAGTTCACAGGCTAGAGGTGTTTAGCCCTGTAGGGTCGCCCTATTGCTTATGCTTTGCACAGCGATTGGGGGAGCGTGGCTGGTTGAGCAACCGTCGCAGTCGATGCTGTTTGAACACGTGCGTTTGAAAGAGATGATCGAGAACTGGCTCCGAACAATCAAAGCCACTAAGCTTGATCGAATGGCTCCCTGTTACAATTGTGCTACTGTAGACCATTCCTAGTTGTGCACAACTTAGGTTTGGAGGCAGGGCTTCTGGATGATGAAATATAAAAGCAGGACTCCGAAGCGCACGAAGGTGTGGTCCAACAGCCACATCATCAGCCGGCTGGACCTGGGATCACTCAGCCGTTCCGAGATGAACGCAGCAGCTGTAAAGACTGTTGATCGTTGGGTTTCTGACGGAAAGAAGAAATGGAAGGCCAACAAACACTTGAAACAGACCCAGAGCCTTAGCCGAACTTAGGTTTTCGATCTAGTCTAGGGTGTCTGGGGTTCGGTGTTGACTGGTCTTCTGTTAGACGAACAAAGGACTTATACCTTCCGCTTTGCGAAGAAAATCATTGATCTACGGCCACAGCTGATTGCACCTACTTCACGATCTACCATCGAGGCTGCTAGTTGCAGGACACTGATGTCGTAACTATGAGCCCGAATCATACCCAACAATCCTTCCTTCCTGCACAGGTATCCTACGATCTCGACCTCAAGGCAGCTTTCAAGAAGCTCACGTACCGGGATAAGTGGGCCGATGCCGATGTCACTTTTGCCATTCGGTATGTCTTCGGATGCAGGTCTGTTAAAGTGCCTGAGTCCTGGAGAGACATCATACCTAAGTGTCTTTGAGGTGTGTGTCACCAAGGAGATCTGGCAGCTTCCACAGTACCTAAGACAGATTGCTGCGCAGGGCACATTCACATTGCAGGTATCGTTGTATGCAACCCAGGCTGTGTAGATATGCGCGTGCAAGATTGTATATAGGCCCCTCGTGTGGATGGTTGGGCGCTATAGTGGCATTCTCTGCGTCATGTGTCTGGGTGCTGCGGGAATGGTGCGTGCGGGGCGGAGGCAGAGCGTACAGGGGCGTACAGGGCGTACCCGACCCAAAGGCGTATTTATCCAACCCAAAGGCGTATTTATCCGATAGGGTTTGGTCGGCCGTACGCGGCGTACCCGGGCGTACGCGGGCGTACCCTGGAACATGGTCGGGGGCGCTTTGGGGCGGTCTGTGTGGGGGGTGGGTGGTGGGTGGGGGGGGTTATGGGTGGAAAATCCGCATTTCTAACCCCCTCTATCAGCCCAAAGTATCCCCGTAACATCACGATGCTTATGATTTACATGACTAATGTTGTAACAGCATGGGTGTCCCAAATCTCACGATGGTCGACCAAACCTGCTGATGGAAGCATCGATCTTATCAATATATATATATATATATATATATATATATATCAGATACCGTCGTACCCTTACTATCCCTTACCTAGTAACCTACCTACCTTACTTTACCTACCTTAGGTTACCTACCTACGTCCTACGTATACCCACATACATGTATGCATGTACGTAGGGGTGGATACATGCATAGATACGCACATATATAGACATGTAGACATGTGTAGTGCATGTATGCATGATGTATGTATATGTGAGTGTGCTTAGGGAGGTCCGAGTATTTCTAACATAGCACCATGGGCTATCTTAGAGGCCGAGCTCTCCCAAGTTTCCAATTCGAGCTGTGGTGCATGTCCGCAGCGACCGACCTGCAAGCCGGGCAGCAGGGTGGCATCCGCAACAAAACTGTTGTTCTCTAAATCAACTAGATGTGATTTGTTGTGTAGTATATCTTCGAGGTCAATGCACTTCCTGCTTTTGTGCCCAATATGTGCAGAAGCTATAATTAGCTCGACGTGCAGCGGGTGAGGATGTTGTGCTCGTTGTGCACAAAGGAAACCCGATGAATTATCAAGATTCCTGACACCCTACAAAACCCGTAAACCCTCCATAACATAAGCAGAAAGACTTCCCCTGCTCCGTGTATACCTCTAATGTTGGATCGCTTGTCACCACAATTCCTGTGTGCTGTCGGGAAGGCTATAGCTCTCTGGTGCTTGAGGCGTTTTTTCTATCGAGTGCCTTCCTAGGCAAAGCTTCGCCAGACGGTGTGTAGCTTGACATGTCGCAGAGTCTTCAAAGCCAGCAGTGGTCCTCAGATACTCTTGGAGCTGGCCTGAAAACCTTGGCCTTTCAGGGCTGCAAGGATGAAGAGGCTCAGGAGCTGGCTGAGCTCCGTGAGATTCAGGACGGGTTGGTTCCAGTAACGCTACGAACTACTGCCAATACAATACTATTTCTGGTACAGAGCTAGGACTAGGATTGGTACAATCAGTATAGCACCCTACTATACTACTACTACTACTACTACTACTACTACTACTACTACTACTACTACTACTACTACTACTACTACTACTACTACTGAAACATCAACACGGTTTGAGACAAAATTGGAGCCCCTCTTTTTTCTATTTTACAAACAACAGAAAAAGAGAGGCTCCAATTTTGTCTCAAACCGTGTTGATGCTTTAGTACTAGTAGTAGTAGTAGTAGTAGTAGTAGTAGTAGTAGTAGTAGTAGTAGTAGTAGTAGTAGTAGTAGTAGTAGTAGTAGTAGTGGTAGTAGTAGTAGTAGTAGTAGTAGTAGTGGTAGTAGTACTATTAGTATTATTGTTATTATTACGATTATTACGACAGCTGCTACTTATGCGATGGTAGTACTACTACTAGTATCATTGTGTAATTAGTACTAGGACTACCACTATCAATAATGCTAGTTATTTCTAGTTTTACTACTATTACTCCTACTACTACTACTACTACTACTACTACTACTACTACTACTACTACTAGGACTACGACTGCGACTACGACTACTACTACTACTACTACTGCTACTACTACTACCGCTACTATTACAAGTACCATTACTACTACTACTACTACTACTACTACTACTACTACTACTACTACTACTACTACTACTACTACTACTACTACTACTACTACTGCGACTAGTACTACTGCTACTACCAGTTCTACTACCACTACTACCACTACGACTACTGGTGCTGCTACTGCTAATGCTACCGCTCCTACTGCTGCTGCTAGACAAGCAACACCACCCCCTGCTGCTGCTGCTGCTGCTGCTGCTGCTGCTGTTGCTACTGCAAAAAGCTTGCGACCGGGTCCTACACACGTCTACAACCAATAAGTTGACGGGCATCCGAGCAACCCTCACGGCGAAGGAGCTGGAAGCAGCCATCGAGAAGCAGATGATGGAGAGCCCAGGTGAACAGCCGGCAGCGGCAGCGGGCCTGAAACGGGCGGCCGCGACTCCGCACTCTGCAAACCCTCTCGATGCAACCCCGCGCTCTGCTGTTCCCCGAGCTAGAAAAGCCGTGGATCGAGGAACCCCGCACAGTGCTGTGAAGCCAACGAATCTCATGCAGGTGTTGGAGGATACAGGAGATGATGCACAGGTGCCTGCCTACGAAGCCCCGATCTACCTTGACCCGTACATCTGTGATGATGATGAGGTGCGTGGGTGGGTATGTTACTGCTAAGGGTATGTGTATGCTCCCAAACATGTGTAGGCTCACATCACGACTGAACCACCGATCTGTACTCTGTAAACCCTGTAGGATCCGCTGGTGCAGCATCTTCGGGATATGGTGATCACACCCGAGAAAGCCCCCAGCATCCCTGCCGAGCCCACACCCAAGAAAGCCCCTGCCAGCAGCCCTCGTCCTGCAGACCAGTGTCCTACGCCATCAATCTTTGCGCCAACCATGGTTGATGCATCCCCAATCTGTGCTGCTAAGGCCCCTGCTTTCCCCAAGCCGGACACGGGTTCTGTCATGACAGCTCCGGATGACATGGCCGGTATGATGAACCAAATGGTTCAAGCATTGCAAAAGCAGCTGAGTGATCAGTCAAGGCAGAACGAGCAATTGCAAACCCTCCTGCAGCAGCAAGCCTCTGAAATCGCAAAGCTGCGAGAGGAGCGAGCCAACAGCAGCCGAGCCGCCTCGGATGTAGGATCTGAGGTGAAAGGGGAGGAGCCCTCGTCGCAGGGCGAAGGCGGGGCATCAGGGGCAACTTCGTTTGAAGCTGCTCGTCAGCGAGTGAGGCGCATGGTTAAGATGAGGGCGGATGGCTCTTATGGTGTTCCCCAACACATCGTCGATACTTGGAATCGACAGGGGAAGGCACGAGAAAACTTGGTGCGGGCGTTTATGGATGCCGGATGCAACAAGGAATCCTATGCATGAACCCGATACATCCTGAGCCTTTTATAAATCCCTAAAACCCTACACCCCTATAAACCCAAAACCCGCGGCAATGTAAAAGCCCTTCTAAACCCGAGGCCTTATGAATACCGAAACCTGTGAAGTATCCTCCGGTTGGGACAAAGGCAGGTCTGGGCTGGGGTGGTTTTTTAAAGTTATGTGGTCTTATTTAATTTTACTATATATAGAGGGATGACTGCTCCAATTAGTGCTAAGTATAAAAATATCCAAAGGTTCACCGCCGTGTGGTGTAGGTGCGATTTGCTAGCAACTCGTAGGAGTCGTTCGTTCGGGAGATCACTGTTCAGAACGAGCGGGAAAAGGAACTCAGTGTCGTTGTGGAGGGAGACTTCTACACTGAGTCCCAGCTCGCAGAGGAGAAGAAACTGTCACCGCATCTAGCCATAATTCTAGCATGGTTTCAGATTATGTGTCTGGAAACGGAATGCAAAGTGCTACTGCATGCTGCCTGTACAGGGAGCGCATCGCCGACATCAAAGCTTTCGCCCGCCAGAACCCTGCTCTGATGAGGCAACTTAGCAGCAACTGTCATTACGACTGCATGCTTAAACATGTGTGGCAGTGTCGAAATCTTCCAAATCGGAAATCAGGAAGGATACATACAATCCCAAGATGGTCACTTATTGGTATGAAGAGCGTGCCCATGCATCCATGCGAGCTTCCTCCCTATTGAGAACCAGGGACCAGGTATCCTTCAACATGGAAGCAGAGCAGGGCGAAGATGGTTCAGTGGTCCTCGGCACGGACGTCAGCTTGAACGATGTGGCTGATGTTTCAATGGGTGCGGCTGCTTCGGGCAGTGGAGACTTCGATTAGGCTATGATGCAAGTTGCAATGTCAGTTAACAGTGCTTTCAACTGTGATGTCTTCGGTTTTGCATGTGTTGCTTCGCTTTGGGCCGAGGAGGTCCAGGCCTTCCGGGCGATGCTGATGTTTCGACCGAGGGTCAGCTACAGCTTCCGAGCCTGGAGGGTGGGAAAAGGGCCTCCGAAGTGATCGGCACTTACATGAAGGCAGCTCTTGGCAGAGCTGCGAAGCTAGGGGATACCCTGGGTAAGATGTATGCTGTTCCGCTAGCTGAGCGCACGGAAGCCTGCAGAAAGACGCTCGTTTGCAAACACGTTAACTACAACACATCTACTAGGTTCTCGGATTCGAACAGATGTTCAGGGCTCTGCGAGGTTTGATTTATGGCCTTGCAATTCACCGTTTTCCTGGTGGTATGGCTACCTGGTATATATAAGCTTTGTAAGGGTCGGGTGCTATCTTTCCTGTTGGAGCTTGGCTGTGATCTCATTTAAGCTTATGGGTGCCAACATATGCATACACACAAATATATAAATATATACATATATAAATATATATACCGGTAGAGGTTACTTGAATAGAATATAGCTGGGTCGGGTTGTGTTACTTATGTTCGGAAAGGTATCTTATCAAGTCCCCAAAGCCTTTGCAGGACCCGGTCATGGTCAGAGGTATACATCTAGTGAATCTAGTGCTTCGTACATTAGGGCTTGCAAGGCATAAAAACAACATCATAAGATCCCAGCCCCGATAAACCCTGAAACTAACCTAATAAGATCCCGGCCCGTACTAACCCTGAATGATCCCATAAATCCTGTGAGCCCCGGACCCTCCCTAGATGCCGAGGCTGCTCGAAAAGCTCGAGGCGGCCAGCAAAGCCTTGGATCATTGCCAGGACAAGATGCAAGACATCTACTGCACCGGAGCTGTTGAGGGATACACGAAGTTGCCCTCCGCTTGCACGGTTAGTGTAGTCATGTTTGCATGAGCCTCGAGTCAAAAGAACATTCAATCTCCGGATCCAAGGCAAGACAATGAACTCGTTGCCCAATACAAGGTGTTGAGAAAGCTGCTACTTTGCTGTATGCTGGCCACCAGGAGACTTGTTGCAATGCAGTTTGTACTACATGTGTGAAGCTCAGGGCGATGGAAACGATGGCTCTTGAGAGCAGGGCAAAAACTGTGATCCCGAAGCGCCGTGCTGAAACAAAGGCCAAAGCTGCAGCTCCTAAGAAAGCTGTCGCACCGGTCAACCCGACTGCGAAAGCCAAGCCGTCTGCCGAGCAGCCAGCAGGGCGCAAGACCGGCAAGCAGCCGGCCGCCTAGGATCTTTTGTGCTTGCAGCCCGAATTTTGTTTATGGCACGGGCGAGGCTTTGTGGGCGCATGTGTAGGGTTGCCATGGGAAACACTTAAAGCCAGGGCCGCTTTTGGGCTTCAGAAGATAAACCAGTGTAGCGGGCAACCCCTGATGTGCTAGATCAGCCTTTCAATCACTAGTGTTCCGATTGGGAACAATGTCGCATCTGTCATCGCGACACGATCGTTCAGTGCTGCTGTCGGTGAACAAAGATCCAATATGTTCAAGCTGTGCCAGAGCGAACTGTAAAGTCCGACCTTTCAGTGTAATGATCATGGATGGAGATATGCCCCTCGTGCAGGTCCGGGGCCTACTGCGCGAGAGCTGGTGCATGCGCTGGGCACTGGAGTTACCTGGCCTGATCAGTCCCGTGTACTGAAACTCCAAACGGATGAATCTATTATGTTTAAATCCCCCTACAGGCCCCTATATAGGCCTTGGTATCATCTTCTTTGTGGTCTATTGTCAGAACCCCTAGCCACCTATGAAAGCTCGAAAAGTGCAGAGTCGTTGTCCTCCTGTTCGAAGCCCAAGCAACCCTATAGCCCCCATCTAACCCGAAACTTTTCATAGCTCCACTAGGGTCCTAGATCGACCCTGCGGGGGTGCATGCCCTGGAAACTGCTGCTTTTTTTCTAGTCTAGAATTATTATTATTTCCGCTACCACTAACACTACCGCTACCACGACCACTACTACTATTATTATTACTACTACTACTACTACTACTAGTGCTACTGCTACTGCCCCTGCCCCGAACCCTATCTGCTTACCCCAAAACTCGCAATGTCCCTAAGGCCCTCAACCAGTTCCCGTCATGAAACCCTGACCCCTGTAATCCCGAAAACCCTACAATACCATTAATCATGAAACCGTGATCCCTGTAACCCCGAAAACCCTACAATACCACTAAGGCCCTCAACCACTCCCATCGTGAAACCCTGACCCCTGTAATTCCGAAAACCCTACAATACCACTAAGGCCCTCAACCACTCCCATCGTGAAACCCTGACCCCTGTAATTCCGAAAACCCTACAATACCCCTAAGGCCCTTAACCAATCCCGTCACAGGCACCAGCAGCTCGCATCGTCCGCCTCGCCAAGGCCATCGAGAAGGAAGCACCGGGAATCCTTGGAGGCATCAAGATTATTAGCAAGATGGATCTGCCGAAAGGTGAGCACAGGCTGCATGCGTTGGCGAAGGAATGGAAAATGACTGTACCCGTACCCCTACGTATGTACACATGTCGTGGTGTGTGCCAACCGATGGTGGAGCTCACTTCTTGGTTTGAATATCTGGTTCATACAAAGCCTGACATTCTGTTGGGAGGGTTTTCTTTCGAGGATCCTCATTTCTCGTTGTTCCTGGAAGCCTTCTGGAAAGCCTACGAGTACGAGCAACCGACCCACTTGGTGTTCCGGCAGCATTCCAACGAGCTCTCCCGCTGCATCCCGTACATGCTGTTTGGGGACGAGGGAAGATCCCTCAGGAAGTGCCCCATACAAATTGTATGCCTGGAGACGGTGTTTGGCTTGACGACTTACAAGAATTATAAAGAGCACCGTGCAAAAGGTGGGCAGATCGATGAAGACACAATGTTGGATTTCATCACGCATACTGGGAAGGGCTCCTCCTTTCTGTCGCGACTTCTGTTGTATGCACTCCCCCATGCCCTGTACCGCTCTGACTCTGATGTCAGCTACAAGGACTTTTGGTACGACTGCATGGACCAAGTTGCCAGAGCTGCTATCCGACTTTTCGAGGACGGTATTTCTCACCGGCTGGGCCGGTTCTACGGCGTTTGCGTGGGCTTCAAAGGCGACGCACCTTTCCTAGCGAAAGCTGCCAAGCTGCGGCGAACCTTCATGTCTGTTGAAGGGAAACACAAGGGCATATGCCCATATTGCGAAGCAGGAACAAGCCACTGTGCTCGAATCGTTTGGGAAACTCTTTCTAATTTGTTCTCGGTTTATATATGGTCTATACGTAGTTAAGAGGGTCTGTTGGGCTTTTAGGGTGTGTACAAGTATTTCTATGCCCTCTGTATTCATCTACCTATCTACCTATCTATGTATCTACCGATATAACTATACATATCTATATATATATATGATGCTAGAAGTACGAAGATTGCATTGGGTTATAACTTCACCCTGATGTTAAAGCTATATTGAGTTTTCAATTACTTAATTTGTGTTTAGCGACATACTTATACCCCGAAAACCCACACCGTAAGCCCTACATAACCCTAAATCGCCCGAACACCCTTAGATATGCCTCAAGTCCCCAAGGAGTTTATGTAAATAACATATTATCAGGATTGCCCTGGTATCGAACCACTCTTGCAAGCCTCGGGAAAGCACACATGATTACTCAAACCTCAGGTCCCGATCTACCCTGGGAGGATGTTGGGCAGGACCCAGTTTGGGTGCCGACAATTGGGCAGTCCAGACCATGGAAGCCCAACCAGTACTCTTCCGTAAGGTCCATACCGTATGCAACATCTGCGCCGGAGCAACTGCTGCAACCAGATCTCTTTCATACGATCAAACTGGGCATCGGTAGACATTTCTCCGGGTCGTTCTTGGTTCTGGCAGCTCACTGGTCCTATTTTTTTGAACCAGGTCGGAACAGTTTTCCCGACGTGTTGGCGCGAATGTATGAAGACTTCCGGCAAGGGTGCAGATCACTTCATTTGACACCACATTGCAAAGGGTTTACTAAAGATACCTTTCATTTCAGCAATTTTCATTCGTGGCCGTGGAGTGGATGGAAGGGCAGCGACACCTTGATGGTGCTCCGGTGGATCATTATGCTGCTGCGAAATGGGCGCTGGTCTGGCGGTGCAAGGACATTTCCATGGCTGCAGCACCCGCAAGCAGCTGATCATGCACCGTTGCTCAAAGCTGTTCATGATGGATGCTGTGCAATCCTGACTTTGTTTCAAGTGGTGCAAAAACAAGGTATCTGGTTGCGCAGGCCTGTGGCTCTCCGCCTGCATTCCGCCATCGACCTGTTCTGCTCCTCCTACAAGTTTTTATCCGGTGAATGCTTCAGGCGACAACTGAACCGGTTCCACCTGGAACCAACTTTACACCAACTCAAGCACTTCAGCATCCGGATACAAGAACAGTTGGCCAACGAGGATGTCCAGGTCATCCTCAACCCTGGAATGTTTATGTGTGAAATGAGCGAAGACTTCGTGGGTCATGTGTCAAGAGTTTCTCGGAGAGTGGCTGCTCGGAGCTGCGGTCTCCGGACACTCCAGAGACATTTGATCCGAGTGCACATGTTCTGGACGGCAAAAATCGAAACAGCGGAGAGCGAGTGTTCACCATCCCGAGGCTTGCAGAGTATCCTATTCCCTTCATACAATATAAGAAATCCGAAGCTGTTGAATTGCTCCCTGAAACCCTCCTAACTTGCCGAGCGTCGCCATTGCACCAGCGAAGCCACCAGTCCAGCTTTATTGAGCATAGAGGGGTTAGGGCTTTGGGTGTAGAGCTGTTGAAAGACCCGGTGGGGTTAATTCGGGGTTTCGAGGGCTGATTCCGTTTTGGGAGCTTCGAGGCTATAGTCGCTGGCTGATTTTATTGTTGAAGCTGCATGAACAAAAGAATCAGTACATCGGCTAATTCTGCAAACCAGAAAACGTCAAGGCTGAAATAACAGCACAACGAGGAACTCCAGGTAGGGTTTAGGGGTTTAGGGTTTTAGGGTTTAGGTTTAGGGTTTAGGTTTAGGGATTAGGGTTTAGGGGTTTAGGGTTTTAGGGTTTAGGTTTAGGGTTGAGTACCGTCTGTCTTTAGTCTGTTCTATTTTCTGGTTTGTGTGTATTGATGTTTTTGCTGTTGTCTGGATTGTGTTCTGTTTGCAGTGATGGAAGCCAAGGAAAGAAAGGAGAACCGAAGAAGGGACGAAGAAGAGAACGAAAGAGAGTGAGAGAGAATGACAGCATGACAGAAAGGAAGGACGGAAGGAAGGAAGGAAGGAACGAAGGAGGAAAGGATGGACAGATGAAAGAAAGACCAGAAAGAAAGGACTAAACATAGGAAAACAATAAGAACGAGGAAAGAAAAGCAGGAAGGAAAGAGAGAGAGAGAGAGACAGGAGGAAACCCACCGTTTCTTTCAGCCAGCCCCTGTACATGAGTGAGAGTGTTTACGATATGTGATGACCCGGAATCGCCATATGAGGGGGCGTGTGCATAAGATATATGACATACCGGAATCGCCATATGCGGGGGGGGGGGTGGGGGGCTGTTTAAGGTATATGGTGAACCGGATTCGCCCAATGAGTGGATTCCTCCAAGGGACAGTTGGGCGATGTGTCACCTGGGATTCAGCATCAGCCCGAGGCGCCTCGATACAGACACACAGCCTTACGAAACAAGAGAAAGAAAAGGGTTTGAGATTTTAGCGATTTGGGGTGTTGGGGGATTTCAGGGGTTCTTAGTTTGGGACTCTATGTGTTTACTATGTCTTAGTTCGCGTTTGAGTCTCTAAGCTTTAAGGGCTTTTAAGGCCTCACAGTTGCTTCGGTTTAGGGGGAAGGTGTTCAGGCTTTTCAGGCTCTGCGTGTTTAGGGTCGTTGTCTTTAGGGTTTCCCATAGTCTCTACAGGATTGTTTTTTAATTTTTGTTCATTATAATTAAAAAGCCCAAGAGAGTATTAAACATGTTGTTGTTATTATGGTTCTAAGGCGGGTATAGTTTTCAGGTTCAGGGTTGGGAGGCTCTGATCTGTGTATTCGGAGATCCCGAGACCTGATTAAAGCCAACAAAGCCCCACTGGGACCCAGAGTAGGCCCTAGGGTTTAGGGTTTAGGGTTAGGGTTTAGGGTTTAGGGTTTATTCCCTTTTTTAGGGTTTCGGTTCCCTTACTTATAAACCCTCGTTAAACCAAAAAGGGCACCTTTTTTGCCTAGGTTACTCTTAAGTCTAGCCCATTGTCGGCACAAACAGTTGAGAGTCCTACTAAGCTTGGGAAATACTTTGCATTCGGGTTTGGTTTCATATGAACTGAAGGAGTTATTCATACTTCATCGTGCTTTTTGGGGAGGTCAACCGGCGTATAGACAAGCAAACCGTTAAAATCCCGCATGAAGACCCCTAGAACAATAACAGCAAAACAAAGCACAACAACAAACCGACCATACAAAAACCCTACAGACAGTCCTCAAGCAACCCCAAAACAGTGAGTAAAACAGATGTAGAAACCCCTACAAAAAACACTGCAAATACTTGACTGCTAAAACGCTATAACACGCTATGTAAGATCCTTTCCAGGCCATGCGACTGTAGACCCTAAATAAACAGCCTGTTTCCACGAAGGAGTCGGATGCAGCACCGAGCCTGGAGGAGTGGCGCTGGGTTCCCTTGTGAGGGTTTAGGATCGATCTAGGACTTCTGTAACCCTAAGGCTCAAAATGGCCCAAAAGCCTTATATAGTATGATCTTTGCGCCCAAAAGCCTTAAAATATGAGTCCTTAGAGCCTAAGGGTCATGATTTAGGCCTTTAAGGGTTTAGGATTCCGCCAAGGGTCAGGTTTGGGAGTTCCTTCAATGGTTTAGGGGTTTGGGGCTTAGGGTTTAGGGGTTTAGGGTTTAGGTTTCCCGGGTTCCTTTCTGAGTTTGGGGCTTAAGGGTGGCTTGGTGTTCCTTTGAGGGGTTCCTTTAACTTTCAGGGTTCAGGGTTGTTTGTAGGCAAGAATCAAGGCTTCTTAAGGGGTCTACAAGGGTTCGTTAACCAGGGTTTCAGGGTTCAGGCTAGAGTGGCCTTAACGATCCGAATATGGTTTGTTGTTTATACTCCATCTATATCTCCGAAGGAACAGTTATTCAGACATTATTCGTCTGTAGTCGTAGTCCCTATTCTGCCTAGGTTCGTTTCGGTGAATGTAGTGCAGGCCAGAAGACAAGCTAACCATTGATATTGTGGGAGCTAAGGAGCCAGGGATGATGATAATCCCTATTAAATCAGGAGCTAAAGAGCCAAGGGAACCCCCAAAACCACTGGTTAGCAAGTTCTTATTCGGAATGAAGCGAGAGGCAGGCTCGTGGTCTGGACACACAGAAACAGTTGAACAATGTGTATAGTACGGATGTATAGGGCCCTGAAAAGTAGCCCTATTCTGGACTGTTACTGTGTGGGACAGAATGTTGGGGTTTGTTTGCGAGTGTAGAGGTTCAGGTTTTGAAGAGGCTTCGGATGAAGCGTCATGATTACCTTAAGCCGGAATAACGTCCCTTTGTAAGGACCTATATAAGGAAAACATAATAAGGAACCCTAAAAAGGTAGTTTATTCCGGCTTAAGGTAGGGCTTCCCCCAATCCTTGCCTTGGAGGTGTAGTTCAGAGTATAGGTGTTGCCTCTTGCAGTTTTGGGATGACTTCAGTTTGGAGTTTACCCTTAGGCTCTAAGGACTCACATTTTAAGGCTTTGGGGCCCAAAGACCATACTATGTAAGGCTTTTGGGCTGTTTTGAGCCTTAGGGTTAGGGTTCGGCAAAGGCTTTGCTTGCTGCAGAGGTTCGTCTAGATTACATAGCTGAGGGTAGTTTAGTCTGGGCTTAGGACCCTACCCATAAGGCTGCAAGCACCTAGCAAACATATGCCCTCCATAGATACGCTCCTACAACTTTTTTCCTACTTCAAATCCAAGTGACTATACTAGGTAGAGTCTATCTGACCCTTCGGGCACACCCCGAAGGCTTACAGCTGGGGGCCTGAAGCTTGAACTCTGACCTACCTAATTACAATCTCCACGGTAGTTCCTTTTTTGGTGAACAATTTTCTGGCTAGGATCCTATATTACAAATTTGGTTGTCCAAAAAAGGAACTCCAATGGAGACGATAGATCGACTGAAAACCGGACCCCAAGCGTCACCGCCTACGCAGGATTTGCTTCCATGGGTGCGGGAAGCCTTTGGCGAGGAGTTCGTTGAGGTTGGCCCCACCTCCTTCCCCAAAGGCTCCATGTACCCTTATAGTAGATACTTAAGCCTTAAAGGGGTCCCTGTATAGGTATTTTAAGGCCTAAGTATATACTATAAGGGTACATGGAGCCTTAGGGTTCCCGGCTTGGGGAACGAGAGGATTACTTTTGAGGGAGAGACCACTGCGGCACGCAAGTTTATTCTATGGGTGATTGTCAAAATTATGGTCCCTTTTTGGGCACCCTAGATATTAGGTGCCGTATTGGAATAAGGACCCAAACAGGGACCCTTTTTTTTGACAACCACCCATATAGAAACAAGCAAAGCCTTAAAAGAGAACCCTCCGAAGAACGTTGACAGGAGCCACGAGACTCCCCAATTCCCAAACCTACAGCCCCTCCAAACGGGGCATCTTCGTGTCTTCGAGGTAATATTAGGATTTTGGGGCGTAGGGGCTTTTGTTTGGTATAGTTTAGGTGACTGAACCCTAAGCCTTTTATAGTTTGGGAGACTGGACCACTGAACCCTACATCCTAGCTTGGTCCCTAAACCCTAGAAACCCTATAAACCCTATAAGCCCTACAAACCCTATAAACCCTATAAACCCTATAAACCCTAAACCCAAGCCGTTTAGGAGACTGGACAAAGAGGCCCTTGGCCGAAAGCAAAAACTCGACAACGCAGTTACCGGGTGCCGTTTTGGAGCTAGGTCACACAATGCCTAAAGGGAACTCCAGAAAGTTGGAATATGGATTAATGGTAGGATTCCCTATAATTTACCTTAAAGGGGTTACGATAATGATATTCCAACTTTCTGGCTTCTACTGTACATGTTAGGCGACCCTTATACATGTATTTTCAACCCTAAACCTTAAACCTTGCCTAAACCCATTATTTTGGCCCAGCAGGCCAGTGCGAGTCCTCGGAGCACCGAGACAAGGGCAAAGCGGTGAAACATGCGAAGCAGATGCAGCGGGAAGCAGATGCAGCGGTTTAGGGTTTATTATCGGGGCCTTAACATTAGAACACGATTTTGGGGCCCATTATACTATAATTGCAATAAGGAACCCCCCAGAATATTATTGGTAACTAGTTAGGCCCCTATATTATTAGGGTTGTGAGCATGATCGAAGACGAGAGGCGGAATGCCAGCTCACTGCGACAGGCGAGGTCGGAGTTCATCAATAAAACTCGATAAAGAAACGGCACCCTGAGCTTATGAGGCTCAAGGTGCCAATGGCCCTTTGTATATATGGGTGGTTGTCAACATTAGGGTCCCTTTTTGGGTACCCTAAATATTAGGTGCCGTATTATAATGAGGACCCAAGAAAGGGACCCTAATTTTGACAACCACCCATATCGGTCGCTAGAGCCTAAGGCTAAAGCCTAATGTGCGTTTGAAGCTGCACCCTAAATTCGCCGGAACCCCACATGAATTTAAGCCCCTCAGCCCTGAACAGTAAACCATGTAAACCCTGAACAATAAACACTACTAGCCATGAGCCCCAAACCCTGAAACCTAAACCCCTAAAACCCTAAACCCTACGAGCCTTATCACACTAAACCGCAATAAACCCTGCAAGCCCTACCAGATGAGCACATACACCTCGTGTACTGCCCCCACTCAGTAAAAGTTGGAAACTTCGTTATGCAGTATAGATATATTGGGCCCTGAATAGTAGCCCTTTTCAAAAACTGTTATTGTATATGGGGGCAGTAGCCTATGCACACCCCAAGTGTGGCTTCATGAGGTGCAGTTTCCCTCACAGGCGCTGGTGCCACAGCCGGCCTCCGGCTGAGGGGGCCAAGAAGTCTTTGGAGTCTAGGGGTTGATGGGTTCAGGGTTTGCGGTTTAGGATTTCGGATGTATGGGAGTCCAGGATTTAGAGTTTAGGATTTAGGGTTTTAGGATGTAGGAATTAGGGTTTAGGGTTTGGGGAAGCTCCAGCCAGGTCTTTGGAGCGTAGGGGTTCGGGGTTTAGGGCTTTGGGAGTTCTAGGAGCGTGGGGCTCTTTAGGATTTAGAGTTTAGGAAATTAGGGCAACAGGAATGTTAGGAGTTCAGGGTTTAATTTTTAAGATCTAGGGTTTAGGAGTTTCAAGAGTTTTAGGAGTGTAGGGGTTCAGCATGTAGAATTGAGGGTTTGGGGTTTTTGGAGTTTACGGGTTAAGGATTTCGGAATAGGGCTTTGGGTACCAGATTATGAAAGAGTTTACAGCCCAGCCCAGCCCAGTCCGCAGCCCCCGCTCGGCCGGAGCCCGGGGCCCCAATCTAGGTTTCGAAAGAAAGCTTGCTCAAAACGTTTGATCAAAACGTTTCGGGAAAAAACGTTATTGGCACCCAAACCCTCAACAATTTCTATAAACCATCAAGAAAGAAAACATAGCAACCGCTTGTCATTGTTTACGTAAAACCCCTTAAACCGTCAACAGCAATCCCAGCAAGCTGGAAAACAGACTTTCATGTTTCCACTTGGCAAGAGGGGGGGGCACACTTTGGGGAATCTTTGATGTCCACGGCTGCTCATCATATGTGGAAAGATTGCTACAACATGCTTGAATTCGCTTATCAGCCAGTGCTTCCTTCGAATGCATACAAAAAGTCCCGTGGAGGAGATAACAGTGCCAGCAGGCATCCCAGTGCAGCTGATGCTGCTTGAGGAGGCTGTGAAGTATGACGTTGACATGTTCTTGCTTCCCGTATCCTTGGAGGCTGTCGCCTCAATATCCAATTTCTGGGATTCAACCCACACACCACCTCTCGACCCACCAGGCTGTCAGCATGTTCTTTGCATGTCACGCCCAGCCCAAGCCCAGGAGGGATCTCAGACTGTGTTCAGATTTGTTGCGCATATCGCGGAGACGCTGAAGAGAAGCGCTGAAACTGTTTTGGAATTTAGCAAAAGGGGCAAGTTCGTTGACTCCTCCGGACAATTTGTGCTGCAGATGCTGGAGGCAGATAATAGTAATATTAGTAATAATAATATTATTGATAATATTAATGATAATAATAATATTAATAATAATAGTATCAAGACAGCCAAGCAGGTCAACCAACCAGATGCAACTTCAGCGCGCCTGGCGAGGATTGGCGGCTGTCCTTGCCGACGCATCTGTCGTTGATGCTGACTATGGTGACAGCGGCGGCGTGCAACCTCACGAGTGGTTGGGCAGGACGTAAAACCCCCAGCCCACAACCCCAGCATCCCAGCCCAGCCCAGCCCATCCCAGCTCAGCAGCGGCTACCTCTTTATAAAGCCGGCCTAACCTTATTGGAAGACTGTATGATTTGAAGAGGTATCCCCCATCACAGGATCTAGCCCTTAAGGTTTGGAGGCTCGCAAGCCCTGAGCTGCAGGGTTTCGAGACTAGGGTTTCGTGACTTCCAGGGTTTACATAACGATCGGGGTTTCGTTGCTTGTAGGGTTTCAAGGCCGTACGATGGCTCAGCAGAAACTCAGTTCCAAGCCTCGTGCCACTCCGAGGCAACAGCAAAGCCAGCGAGGACCGGATCCCCCCTGCGGGTCGGTTTAGGGTTCTGGGTTTAGGGGGTTTCGGATTAGTACGGCTTAGGGCTTTTGGGATTCAGTCTAGAACGGCTTCTCTTGAAGTTAAGCTTGAAGAGCTCTATGAGGATATTGTGAAGCTTCCGCAAAGGGCTCTGTACTTCGTGAAGCACGTGACTGTGAGTTGTTGTCTTTTGAGGGCAGTTCTGTCCGTATGGCCACGGTTAACTTTCAGCAATCCTGAGAAACTGGACAAGCAAGTAACTAGCGTAAAATATTACCAATACCGTCTTGGGTTTCCTTATAATATAGCTCCCAAAGCCGTATTCTAAAAATTAAGGTCCCCATATCCATCGGAAAAAGTGGTACCCTTACGATCAAAGGGATACTGGAGGCCAAGAACAGATTATTTGAGGGTTTATGGTTTAGGGGTTTAGGGTAGTGCTGCACAATTTGTGATCCAGATGCTCAGGCTTTCCGATACTTACCCCTGAGAACCTCAGCTCTTTCGTCACACGATACCCAACATCCAGGGGTCAGAGTACTCGGTAATGGGCAGTTACAAAAATTGGCGTCTCTATATTCGCGCCCGCTTTCTAGGTCCTCAAAATAGTATGGCACCCTTTACTACGAGTACACCAAAAGCATGAGAGAACTACCCATACAGAAAAATTGGGTAGCCTGACGAATATGACTCCCTGCATAGGTCCTTGACAGCCCAGGCTTTGTAATCATTGCTATAGCGGTCAAAAGCATTGGAAAACCCTCCTCTTAGAATCCTTGTACATACACTTGTTCGTACTGAAATGTGGCCCCAAGCCCCGCTCTATTCAGAGATGCCCTTATAGTGGATCCAGCTGACTCGCGCACTGCTAGAGGACGACCTTCCGCCTGGAGCAGGTCGTCCAAGACGCGGTCCAAAAAGGAGGCGACTGCAGTTTCGATTGCTTGGTGTGTAGGGTTCGTAGGTTTAGGATCAATAGGTTTATCTAACTGGGAGCTTTGTGTTTGGAGTGCGATGGTTCGGGATCGCGGTCTGACCCAGCCCACCTTGCATGGGCCGTTTCTTGGTAATTTAATATCGTTCTTGTGTTGCTAAGGGGTCTTATCTACGATCCAGTAAATTCGGCGTTGCGGCAGGAGAGCGACTCTAAAGGGACCCGAACCCTGGATTTTCGGAAGCACTGCAGCCCTAAACTCCAATCCTTAAACTTCAAATCTCAACCCATCGCCACCCCCAAACCCAAGCACTAAGTTTCAAGCCCATCGCTAAAGACCCCAGACGCCCGGACCATCTCGGTTTGGGTTTCTGGAGCATCTAGGGAGTTAAGAGCTCCTTATTGTAAGTATATCTTAAATGATACCCTTCCTAAATCTACATATTATGAGCTTTGAGTCCCCTATAGTATGTCGAGGCTGAGGCAGCCCAAAGATTCCTGCCCCACAAGAAATTTGTGATATCGGAATCCCTACTATATCCTACATACATCCTACTACTAAACCCAACACAGGCATTCCTTAGAGTGTTTTTTACGTAGAGCATAATATCAGATGCTGCCCCAACTAGTGCAACCCCTGCACATCACAACGTTCTACCGGAGGGTTGGAGCTACGCGGTTTTGATGAGTTTGGCTTTGTTTTTTGCCTGTGGCCCTACACCTAAAACCCACCGAATGCCTACTCACGCCCTATCTCTAAACCCATAAACCCTAACCCTACATAACCTACCGTTTTTAAGGACATATACAGCGAAATCATCATACGGAGCTTGAGCAAATTCCGTGGGGGAAGCCCCTGAACCCTCAACCTCTATAAATGCTAAAGCCCTAAACTCGAGACTCTAACCTCTGAGCCTTGAACCTCTAGACTCTAAACTCTGAACCCTAAACCTGGCGATCTCTAAAGTAGTTGAGAGCCGACTGCGGGCAGACGTAAAAGTCAACTCAACTTAAAAAAAAGAACCCTAAACTTTAAAGACAGTAAAGCCTAAACCCTTGAACCCATACCCTTTAGAATCTAAGCCCTGCACCCTAAACCCCTGAATTCTGGGGACCTCTAGACGCTCCCTGGACATAGCTGTTTCGAGAGCCAAAAGAAACCTCCGCTCCGCTCAGGTCTCAAGACGCCACCCAGCTCCTTGATTACTATGCATTTTGAGCTTTGGGTTTAGGGTTGTTAGGGTGTCTGGGGCTTATGGCTTATGGGGCTTTTAGCGTTTAGGTTTACGGTTTAGAGTTTTAGCTTTGGGGGTTCGGTTCGGAAGCCTCGGTTGTTTGTCCCAAGACCCTGCCCTGCGCCCTATAAGCCCTCATGGAAATAAAGCCGCAAGCCCTTCATCAGTGACAGGCTTCGACCCCAGACTGAAACCCTAAACCCTAGACCCTGAACCCTAAACCCCTAAACCCTAAACCTTAAACCCTAAACCCTAAACCCTAAAACCCTAAACCCTAAACCCTAAACCCCTAAACCCCTAAACCCTAAACCCTAAACCCTAAAACCCTAAACCCTAAACCCCGAAACCGGGTTCTGGAGTACCACTACTTGAAAGTCATCTCTCGGACCTGTTCCTTAAAGGAACCACTAAGAAATAAACCTATGGGGGAACCATTAAAAGACAGACCTAAAGGAACAGTTAAGAAATGAACGTCTATACACTTGTGTCTCCCCGTTTACTTCCAAGTCCTGGAAATCATCAACTTTGAGTTCTGATCCCTAAAGCCCCGAGTTAAACCGAACAGTTTAGGGCACAAACCCTAAAACGAGTCATCCATACCCTGCCAAAAATTCGCAGAGGACAGTATGACAAAGTAGAATAGACGATGTCAGCGTGTAGAGATCAGCATTTTCTCGGACTAAGTTTGAGGCTCAAAGCAGCCTGAAAGCCCTATATACCATAATCTTTGGGCCTCAACCCTAAACCCTAAAGGGCCTAATAACCTCAAAAATCTAAGTCCTTAGGGTCCGTTTGAGGCATCAACTTGAAATCCGCGGAGCCGAAGGGAATCAGGCAGCCTTTGTGACGTTTGCCTTAAGGACTCCCTTAAGCACTACTTAGAGGCCCAGGGACTTAGTAAGTAGGTTTTTAGTAGTGTCATATTTGGGGTATCTCCGATTAGGGCACTTAAAACAGGGGCCCAAAAAAGATGCTTAGCCCTAAGAGTCCTAGGTACTGCTATGGGGGATACCTCCCCAAGTCAAAATAGTTATTTGCAAAAAAGAAACCCTACGTTCTACTATATGGGTACTCAGGAGCCTTTGGGTCAATAGGGTTGCGGTAAGCATGGAGATGTTCATTGAAAGGACGACTGAGGAATCGAAACACGCGCGGTTTGGGAATTTGGGTCTAGGCTTTGGGTTTTGGGACTAAAGCGTTCGGAAGCTGTTCTTTTATTTGTTATTATGCTTAGGATTTGTAGACTCGAAGCTTAGGGCTTGTGCTTTGGGGCTGCATGTATACTGTGAATTCATGTTGAGAAAGGGTCCGTTGATCAGCCTCTTGGAGGGGCTTCCAGGATCAGGGTAGTCAACTAGATCTGGTTTGGCAAGAGTTGGTAGGTATACGGAATATCCCGAATCTATTCCTAGGACCTGGAGTACGCCCTTATTCCCTTTTTTCAAAGGGCACCCTTTTTGTTCCTAGGTTACTCTTGGGTCTAGATTCCCAAGGCTCAAAATAGCCCAAGAGCCTTACATCGTAGGGTTTTTGGGGTCCGAAAGCCTTAAAATATGAGTCCTTCTGTTGATGATATAAATCCTGCATGACCCATAATCAGGAATATACCATAATTCCCATATATTCCTTATTATGGGTAATGCAGGATTTATATCATCAACCGTTAGAGCCTAAGGGATTAGGCCTAACCCCAAAATTAACGTACTTGTCGTTGTACTTGCTAGGAGCACTCCCGGTTCTGAGCGTGGGATCGTCGGCTGCTTGGGTTTTGGGCTTCGGGTTTAAGCTGCAAGTTGCTGCTCCAGGTTTTTATTATGGCATATAGGATGTAGGGTCGGAGCCTAAACAATTCTAATAGTATGATTCCCTTATATATAGTCTCTACCTATCTAGACTATCACATATCTCAATCCTATTTCTAGTGGTTAGTGCACCTATGTTACTTTACGTGTAGCCGGTCTTTGTACGGGTCAGCACTGACGATCTTGAACAAGGGCAATCCTTGATGTTAACTACCAGTTGATCTAGATAACCCCCCGCCCCGCGTTGGATGTAGTAGTACCCGGGCTATGGGGCCTAATTACGGGATTTGAGAGAATCTTAGTCTTGGGGCTTTCGGATTTACTAAAACCAGACTTGACTCCATGGAGCTCGAACCCCGAAACGGCAGCCTCAACAGATTCGTCTCTTACTTCCAAATGTTGAGGGTCTTGTCGCATGTGCATAAGATGCAAGTAGTGTTCAGGCCTGAGGTATTGGGATTAGGTTGTGGGGTCTAAGGTCAGGGCTGCCGCAGTTGGCATTGGGCAGGCTGCCTTTCTAGATCCATACCTACATCTGCAACTGAATTCCGCGGCGGATCGCCTACTCAACTTTCCGGTTCTTGGAACCCTCACAAAAGGGTTTTCAAAAATGGAGTCCATGTAGGTGGTTGTCAGTCGTTTTCTGGGTCCTTATTATAGTACAGCACTTACCCTTAGGCTCTAAGGACTCACATTTTAAGATTTTTGGGCCCAAAGACCATACTATGTAAGGCTATCGGTTTATTTTGAGCCTTAGGGTTAATATTTAGGGTGCCCAAAAGGGTCCATAATTTTGACAACCACCCATGTGAAGGACCGTATGGTTTATAGAAACGCAAGCAAGCTCCGGCCTGGAAGACATTTCTTTGTCCGAAAACTGTTAAACCCTAAGGCTCCATGTACCCATATAGTATATACTGAGACCTTAAAGTACCTACATAGGGACTTTTTTAAGGTTTCAGTATCTACTATAAAGGTAGTACATAGAGCCTTTGGGTAAGCAGCCTAATGTCGCTGGCCACACAACACCCTAAACCCCAAAAACGCTGGGCGCTGCACGCTAATCCTTCAACCTACCCATAGTCTCCATGGAAGTTCTTGTTTCTCTAGGATGCCCAGTAGTACCCTTATTCCTTTTTTGTAGTCCTAGGTTCCTTATAAAGTTACCCAATACCAAAAAGAGAGGCCTTTTTATTCTTAGGTTACTGGGTATCCTAGTTCTTGTTTAGCCGATTTTATCTTCAGGATCCTTAAGTTAAGGCAGCCTGACATTGGATGCATTGAAACGGAGACTACCCAGACCCCCCAACTACCCTCTACTATACCCCAAATACACATTATTAAGGGCCATAAGGACACTGTTAAAGGGCGCTTGGGGGCTCCTGGTACCCTAAACTCTAAACCCTTACCCTTGACCAAACGGCACCCGCCAGGCAGCAACTCGACAGACTGATGTCCTCACTGCAGGTCACCACACCAGTGAGTGCTGTTTCTTGAGGTCAGGGGATCATGCCAGTCGATAATATGGTCAACGTCAGCCTCACTATGACTGTCACCATCATCACAAAGAACATCACCAACACCACCCTCACAGTGACCATCATCGACTTCATGATCACCATGTTCATCATCATCATCGTCATCATCATCATCGTCATCATCATCCCCTATAAACCCAAGACCCTAAACCCTAAACCCCTAAACCTTGAATAACTCCTGGCATGCTTAAAACAAGTTTTGGGGATCTAGGGCCAAACCCACACATACATGGTGCACGGACTGGGGTTCTGATGCATATTGAGGGTAATCTGCTGCACGGCCTGGGGTTTGGGGTCGGTGTGGGGGTTGGTGCGGAACTGGTTCGCGCCGCACCCCACCGCGTCCCGTGCAGGGCAGAGGGCAAAAACCCGACCTTGGCGGTGCTCTGCTTGCCCCCGCCCCACCCCCTGCCCCGCCCACGCCCCCACCCCAAACCCCAGTCAGAACGCGTCGGAACCCGTCGGAACCCGTCGGAACCTGTCGGAGACACCTGTCCCAGCCCGTTCGCAGCCTAATTAAGCATACTGAGAGGCACGTTTATTGGGTTGTGAGGGGTTCCGACGGGTTCCGACGGTTTCCGACGGGTTCCGACGGGTTCCGACGGCACGGGCCAGGTGGGACAGGGTGGGGCGGGGGTGGGCACGCACCGTGACCGGGGGTACAGGTGGGGTGGGGCGAGTAAGGGGAGGCGGGGTGTGGGGTGGGGTGGTGGGCGGCGGAGCCCGGCAGGACCACACACCCGCACCAACCCCCGCACCAACCCCCGCACCAACCCCTGCACCCACAACCCTGGGTGTTTTAAGCATACCAGGCCCCTTGCAACCTAAACCCTAAACCCTATCATCATCAGTTTGTTTCTTCGGGACCGCCATCTCCATCGTCTCAATCTCATCCTCGGACCTACACCCCAGCAGCATGATCCCCAGCTCCTCCATGAGCGCTACAGTAGTCACGCTGCCAACCTAAGCAACATCCCTGGGGCTCCAATAAGCCCAAAGTAGATAGTGTCTATATAGACTTTGGAACTCAAAGTATAGGTACTAGTTGTATACTTGGAGCCCAACATTAGCCTGAGGCTCTAAGGACTCATATTTTGAGATTTTTGTGCCCGAAGACCATACTATATCAGGCTTTTGGGCTATTTTGAGCCGTAGGGTTAGCAACATCAGAAGCGCACTGTGATCATGTACCGGGCTACTGCCGCCAAACCCAGCATAAACATCATGACGAGCAGTACAACAGCTGGGTATGGGTATACAAAAGACAACAGTATTTGTAGCATACACAAGGCATCACGAGGCTTTGATCGCCAAAAGCATATACATACTAAATATCACAGCAGGAGCAGGAGTAGTCGGTTTAGGGTCTAGGGTATAGTACCCTTATAGTAACCCCTATAGTACCCCTATTCTCATTCTTCTTAAGGGCTAGTAAGGGCCATAAGGGCTCAGAAAAGGCCCCTTGCGGGATCCTGGTAGGGTTTTGGAATTCGGCGAAATGCCCCAAGGAAGATCAGCGGTTTCTCAACATGTCCTGTCCTGCCAGTGCAGGAGCAGCGCTGGAGCCGCGCGCCAAGGACGAAACGGCTTAAAGTTTAGGGTTTAGGGTTCAGGGCTATACTATCACGTCCCAGAATCCCTCAGCTGCACTTCAGGAGTGTCAACGTGTAGAAATACCATAGCCTAGCAGCGAGAGTAATTCGAAGAGGGCCTGCGTTTTTACTTTTGTTAGGGAGTGCAGGAGGACACATGAATCCCAGAGGCTCCAAATATAGTACCATTATGGAATGAGGTCCCAAAAGACCATCCATATCATGGCTTTGGGGGCCTAATTCCATAATGGTAGTATATTTGGAGCCTCTAGGAATGCTGATACAGAACCTTACAGAGTTTCAGAGCTCAGGGTGCTAACCCTAAGCCCTAAACCCTAAACCCTAATTTTAAACCCTAAACCTTAATTTTAAACCCTAAACCCTAAACCCTAATTCTAAGCCCTAAACCCTAAACCCTAATTCTAAACCCTAAACCCTAAACCTTAATTTTAAACCCTAAACCCTAAACCGTAGAAGAGATCAGAAAAATAGGAGCCATTCCAAGACTTGGAATGGCTCCTATTAAGAAGAGTCGCCTTGTAGCTGGCCGGGCGAAAGACGCGAACCTACAGGGCCCAACCATTACCCTAAGGCTCAAAATAGCCCAAAAGCCTTATATAGTATGGTCTTGGGCCCAAAAGCCTCATATTTGGTATGGTCTTTGGGCCGAAAAGCCTTAAGATATGAGTCTTTAGAGCCTAAGGGTTACAAGCTTTTGATCCGAATGAGGCTCTGCAGGCCCCGCCCTTATGTCATGACTACTTAGATAGTGAACGGGGGAAATTTAAGCTTTTTGGCCTTATATATTAGATCTATCTGAACTTTTGGGGGCCCGGCTGTTGAAGAAGAGAGACTAAGACGTAAATCACATGACTCCATACCACTCTGAACCCTTGGATCATTGGACCCTAGCGCATTCTTGTTTCAGATGGTTTAGGGTGTTCAGCCAGGGATGCCTTCGGTCAGTATTTGACTGAAAGGTCGACCGTTTGAGCATCGGACGACGCTTATAGGGGCTGAGCGCTTCAAAGGTTTGGTCTTCGGGTGGTCTTCGGCGATTGTTGAGCAACAAATGCGGCCAGGACCTTGACGCAGCATCCTTTCAAGCAGCTGCACCCCACAATCTCAAACTCATAAGCCGCAAATAGGAAACTCTCAGACTCCAAACCCAAGGCCCTGGGCCAAACCCTCAAACCCTATCCGTAAACTGGGCAAGGTCCAGACGGCATGGGTGCCGAGCGACAGCCCAGGCGTGCGCGGGTTGTTCAGGATGTGATTGCCACAAGCTGAGCGCCCTCTCAAAAGAGAGTTCTGAAAGAGGCCACGAGGCGCAGGCTTAGGCATTCATCAGTTTGCTATTTGCTGCTCTAACGTGATCCGGATAGAGTGGACATTTTACAATGGGGGGCTGTGAGGCCTTTTGCTGAATGGATGCAGAGCTGGGAAGTTGTGATCGCACGCTTTTGGACGCTATACCCTGGTGATACCTCCATAACAGATTGTAACTCCCTGAAAGACCGTAAGATCCGAACAAGCTGTGCTTCATTCAGATGCTCCACACGACTTCTGCGAGCGCCCATTGTCAATTGACATAAGATTCATGGTTCGGGGGTTTCGGGGGTTCGGGGTTTACATTTAGCGCCAGACGGATAACACTTGACAGTCAAGATCAGTCAAGTGCAATGTCTCGCGCGGAAGTTTCCACCATTTCACTACGAGGTCTTTGGTTTCTTCATGATGTCCTCTGTTGAGTTTCAAACCTTGTTCCATCTAGGAAACTCTGTAGGCAAGCCCAATACCCACGACAATGCAAGCTTGTTCAGGACGATCGCCCGCCAGAACTATGACATCTTCAAAAATCCGTTCGGAGCTGCTGATGAGCTGGGAAACCCTGGCAGTCGAGGTTTAGAGTTTCGTGGTTAGGGAGGGATTAGACGCCTTAAGACGGTTTACAGTTTTGGGGTTAGGGTTCAGGGGTTCGGGCAGGTGTCGGGATTTTGAGGTAGGAGGGGAGTTGCGGGATCTGCTTTAAGTTGATTTCATTTCCCTTAGGCTCTATGGACTCACATTTTAAGGCTTTCGGGCTCAAAGACCATACCATATAAGGGTTTTGGGCTATTTTGAGCCGTGGGGTTAGAGTGAAGTTCGTGGATTCCGGGCAAGCTTTGGATTCATGGGAGTTTAGGCACCAAGGTGGGCAGCATCTAAGTCGCTATACAGAGGTTTATGCCAAGATTTTCATTACCCATAGGCCCCATAGTAGTTCCTTTTTGGGATTACCTTATAGGATTCTAAATCTGCACCCCAAAAAGGAACTGCTTTGGGTACACATGTTACTGCAGAACTGGCAGGATGTTGTTGACTCAAGCGTCGGGCGTAATGAGTGTGGATGCTCAGTTTGTTTCACAGACCCTCTAAACCCTAAAGCAGCCATACCTGACCTCTCAGACCGTGCACCCCAAGTCGCCTCATCTCAACGCCCGAAACCACAGATCCCGAACAGCTCAAAAGGCCCGAAACCCCTCATGAAACTCTGCATCACCACTATATTTTAAGTCAGAGCGCTGAATCCTGAGCCTCGAAACCTAAATACCTACAGAACCATACAGAACCCTGCTTCGCGAAGTCCAAAAATTGGTGAACATTCGGCAGCCCTACGCCCTGATCCGGACGCAAGAGAGCTGCAGGTTCACCCTGGCTACGAAAAAGGCCGAGCGACGGCTGAATACCAAAAGGAATCAAGAGCCGGGCGCCTCGGTACAGGGGATACATTATAGGTCGGTGGTCTCTTTGTTTGGGGTTTCTGTTGTAAGGGGCCGTTTCTAGCGATCCTTGTTAGGGCTATAGTCGGCAGTCTGAACACCAGATAAAGAGACGCAGGTTCTGGGTCTGGAGCATGGAGTTGGGACTAGAATATAGGGGCCTTAACCCTTAGGCTCTAAGGACTCATATCTTAAGGCTTTTGGGCCCAAAGACCATACTATATAAGGCTTTTGGGCTATTTTGAGCCTTAGGGAAATGATTACCAATACTATTTTGAGGGGTTCCCTTTTAGTTTGGCATAATGGGCCCCGCAACCGTATTTTAGTCTTATACAAGGACCCTACAAGGGATCCTAATTTAGGCGTTGGGATCTTACAGCGTAAAGTCCTACCGTAAGCCTAAGGCTCAGAATGCGCCAAAAGCCTTCTACAGTATGGTCTTTGGAGCCAACAGACTCATAGCGCAGTCCTTAGAACCTTCGAGAATCCATGTGAACCATAAAGCCCTAAGCCGTAAGCCCTAAACCACAGCGCAGACCGTAAACAAAAAACCTTAAGGCTAAGCACCAAACCCTACACCCCATGGCCCTATACTCGGCATTGCACCCCGAGCCCCAACACACTAAACTAGTATGACGGCCGGAACCCCTATACTCTACACCTGCAGTATAATTTATAGATTTTGCTTTTTGGTTCAGTAAGGACCCAACTTTCAAGTTTGGCTAGGTCTTTTTCTACCCGACGACCGTGGAAAATATTGTCGTCAAGAGCCAATTCGGTTAGAGAGTTTGGGGTCTATAGCCTACAGCCGTTAGGGCTCGGTTCGTAAGCTTTCAGACGAAGGAACTCCAATATCCCTGAATTAAGGATTATTCCTTAAATTATAGTAGGATCCCTAACATGATTTAAGGGATATTCCTTACTTAAGGGATATTGGAGGAGTCTCTGGGGATGAAGGAACTGGTTGAAGCCAGATCCGCGACAACAAAGCAGCTCCAAACCTTCGCCTGCCGGGACTTCCGGAGGCCTTCAGCTGGAGCTACCCTTGCGCCGGGAACATGCCCAGAGACTCCGATATCCCTTAATTAATATTAAGGAGTATACCTTAAATCATGTAAGGGATCCTACTATAATGTAAGGTATATTCCTTAATTAAGGGATATTGGAGTCTCTAGGTAATACACTATACAAAGCCCCTTTTGACAAAGACTGGCTACCAACCCTACAGGCAAGGACAGTTCCCAAACCGGTCCGGTTCGGTTTGGGTCGTGGATTGCCTGCATAGCAGTTTCGAGATTTGCCATCAGCAACACTGAGGTCACGACGTCAGTTAAATCTTCTTTGAGTTAGTATGGAGGAGCATCTAGTTTAAGGCGGTACATATGGGAGAATCCAAAATAGGGGACCCTTAAAAAGTACCCTAAATAGCAGGATCCTTGTTATCAGGACCCCAAAATTCAAGGTACCCCGAATTTTGGTATACTCCCATATGCCTTAACCCTAAACCCCATAGATCCCTCATAGCCTTTAAAGGAAACCTTAAAAAAAACCCTTTAAAGGAACTCGTATATGCCTTAAACCTCTGCATGAGGCCTAAACCCTCTCAAACCCTGAACCCTAAGCGGTCCTCTGCACGAGGAGTTCCAAAGAGTCCAGTCAAGACCCGACGATGCCTGTCAGGCGAAAGTTGGGACCACCTCCGTTCTTCCAAAATACTAAAGCCTGAACTTGGCGCTGTTTTTTTTAGGATTCAGGGTGTAGCATCAGGGTCATGATGGGTTTAACCCTAAACCCTGAACCATTAGGTGTTGTTGTTTTTTTTTTGGGGGGGGTCATAGAGTCTTGCCACAGTTTTCCGGCCCTAGTCGGATGGCTTTCGGGCTCTGTGCTTCCATGGACTTTTTTATGTGGAGGCTCTTTGATGTTGTTTCGGGCCGCGCCCTGGCCTTGAATGAGGAAGCTCAGAAACAACCAGAGTTATTCTCTAGAGACTCTAGGGTGTATTCTATTTCAATGTACCCAAAATCCTGTTCTGATCGTAAGGTCTCCATAATATATACTTTAGACACTGTTCGCTTGAATTCGGAGTAGTAAAGCAAGATTCCTTATATATGGTCAGGCGTCTGGCGTTCCCAGCCCCCCCCCCCCCAATGGTATGGTCTGACAGGGGTGGGGGGGCGGGGGGCCCTGGCGTGTGCGGAAAGGGGTTGGGGCGGGCCGTTGGAGCTGCCGCTGGATGGGGGCGGTGCTGGCGGCCAGGGAAAACGTGCAAGCCCTTCGCAAGCAAGCCGTAAACCCTATGACGCAGCCCGTGCCCCGATTTTGAGCAACCTTAACTTGTACTTAAAACGCTACACCCAACCCTAAACCCCACCTAACTGCAGGCTCTAAGCCTAAAGCAGAGCATACACCGCAAATCCTCCCTAAGCCCTTGTCGACTCGAAGCCTTATACCTCGTAGCCGTAAACCCAAAACTCAAAAGCTTAAGCTAAACCCCAAACCCCAAAACCCCACAACCACCCACAGGGGGGAGGAACCCCACACCCCACACCACAGGGGAGGGGGGTTTATTCTATATCCGGACCATTGACCTTTTTGGGGGGAGGGGGGGGGCTGCAGAGCGTGTGACCATATATAGGGTCCCTTATCATGATTCGAGACGTGTGATGACACTCCGATCGACTTGACCTTTGAACGGAAAGCACTTTCGGAAGGTGATCATACGATAACAGAGGCCAAAAGCACTATTCTCTTCGTCAAGGCGCGAAAGTTACTCAAGCCTAACCTGGAGGATCGTTGGAGTGTTGGATCCATTTCCATGTGGCGAGGCTTTGGTGGTGTAGATGAAGATTCCGATACTACACCCCCGAAACACTTTGCTGCATTCCGGAGTTTTGGGGTAGAAGGGTTTGGGAGTGTCAGAACTCAATAGCATTGAAAATAGAGCCTTGCGCAGTGGTAGGTCTACTACAAGGTCAATTACACTGGGCCCCCAGTGTTGGTAGTCTTACAGTAAAAACCTCTGCATGTGCGATTTGGGGTCGTGGGAAAACCCTAAACTCTGAACTCGAAAATCCTGAAGATACTATACTAGGTGGGCCTTTGGAACATTTTATATTTTCCCTTTTTGGGCTTAATAGGACCCTATTTACGAATATTTTTCAGAGGCTTTAAAGGGCCAACCTAGTATAGTAGAGACGCCACAGCCCCTAAACCCTGAGCCACCCTAACTCCTATTCCTTCAACGCCCCTGCTAATGGCTGCCCTCAGGCGGAGGAAGCCTCAGACACCCCCCGCAAGCCGAAGTCCGAAATTGCCATGGACCCAGATTGAGGTTCATGGAGCTTTGAAATTGGGATGTTTGAGGGTAATCCCTTCCCCCTAACATTCATCCCCCCTAATATAACAACTGCCGGCCCTCGAGTTCGCGGGTTCGGGCCCCGCATTCGATTTAAAGGGGGCAACATTAGGGGGGGTGGCAGATCTGTATGTGTTCTAATTGAAGGAAGACTAACCGTAATACTAAAACAGCATAGCTTTAGGTTTAAGGGTTTAGGCTCAGGGCTTTATAGAGCCAAGATTACAGCACACTCAAAGAGACACGAGAGCTTTAGGGTTTAAGGGTTTAGGGCTCAGGGCTAAAGCTTTAGGGCTCAGGGCTTTAGTTGGGGCTCGAGGTTTAAGCCTTTAGTAGGCCTCAGGGCTCCAGGCTTAGGATAGCTAGCAGCTGGGAGTCCGGGTACGTGGTGCACCGAAACCCCCCTAATATAAAAACTAAACCTCCGAAATCCATTAGGGGGAAGGGATTAGTGTTTCAGGATTGGTGTTGTTTGTATGAGTCGCATCGGGACGGGAAGGTGGGGGATGAACTTTGGAGCTGGAAGGTCAACCAGAAAGACCTTGATATAGATTGGGGCCACCTTTTAGTTTATCATTCGAAGAGGGGCTATGGGTTTACAGGAGTTTTTTCAGGGTTTACTGTGGGTTCATGTCCCGGGTTTACGGCTTCAGCAGATCACCTGACCCCTTCTCCCCAATCCTAGATCGCAAGCATGGCGCGGCGTCGCTGCTTGCTTTGCTTTCGTGATTTTAGGAGGCCTGGTTCAGTGGTTCGGAACAATCTGTGACCCACCCCCAAGGGTGGAGCAAGTTACAGACAGATACTGTTCCATCACCGTGTCGATCAAGACCAGGAAGGTAACACGATTCCTCATCTGCAGCAGGAGAGGGCCCCAGGCCTGGACGCCGTGAAGGCGTCGCACGAACGTATGATGAAAAGGGCAATCCACAGGCACTTCAAAAGCACGATCCATATGAATGTCTCTCTTCTGGCTTGATGCCGGATCGACCGTTGCGCTGCTTCCATCATGGGAAGGGTTGCATCTTGGCCCTAAGACCGTCACTGGTCGCACAGACCTCGGCGCCTTCATTCCAGGACCTGCTTTAGTTTAGGGTTTATGGGGTTCAGCCCCGAATGCTGTTCCCCTCGCCAGCGCCATTCTTGATTTTCTACCAGGCCCCCAAAAAACGTTTGGGCGCATCACTGGGGACATGATAGCTTGACCTTATGGCTCAAAATAGCCCAAAGGCCTTGTATAGTATGGTCTTTAGGCCCAAAAGCCTTAACATATGAGTCCCCCTAGAGCCTAAGGGGTAGCTTTAGACAGGGTTTTGCCGGAGCGAACCCTCAATCCAGGTACTGATCCCCACACTTTCCCCAGAAGCCAGAAAGTTGGAACATCAATATCCTCATGCCTTAAAGCTAAACCATAAGAAATCCTAGCACCCATCCTCCTAAACCCACGTTCCAAGTTTCTGGGGTTTACAGGGTTCCATGATCCTGCTGAGTGCACGAAACCCTTAAAACCCCTGAGCCTTCACGCCCACTTGGAGGGTCGGGGGATTTAGTAACTGGTTATTTTAAGGACTTATAAGTACCATAACCCCAATTAGGGTCCCTTTTAGGGTACTTATAAGTCTACTTACTACCTACTTACTAAGTCCCCCGACCCTCCAAGCAAGCTCTAGACCGTAAGCCTTAAACCCTCAACCCTAACAGTCCTCTAGCCCTGTAAAGCTTAACCCCTAAACCTTAAACCCTAAACCCTAATAATCCTTGAGCCCTATATAGCTTAAGTCCTAAACCTTAAATCCTAAACCCTAATAATCCGTTAACCCTATAAAGCTTAAGCCCTAAACCTTAAACCTTAATAATCCGCCAACCCTATAAAGCTTAAGCCCTAAACTTAAAACCCTACACCCTTACCCTAAAGCTCCAAAACCCTAAACTTTAGCCCGAAACCCTAAACCCTTGCAGTAGGACAAGAACACCACCTCTAAGGCAACCAAAGCTAAAGCACTGAAGCCCTAAATCCTAAAGCTCATGTCCCAAAGCCCGATCCCAAAAGTTGACATCCCAAAGCCCTAAACTCTAAAACCCTAAACTGCCCTTTACCCTACCAAAAAGATCCGAATTACCCGTATCGTACCATTATCTTATTTGGGGAAGTATCCCACAGAACAGTACCTGGGACCTTTAGGGCTAAGCATCTTCGTAAGGCCCCCGTTTGCCCGAGGTCAGAGGGCAAAAGCTGGAAAGGCAGCCACAGGGGGCGGCATTCGGAGTCGGGAATATGACGTCCGAAGTGGGGCTTTGCGGATCAAGGGTTAAGGCCAGTTAAGGCTTTAGGGGTTTGGGGTTTAGGGTCTAGGGGTTTAGGGGTTTAGGGTGTAGGCCTTGTGGCTGAAGGGTTTAAGATGCCTTGTTGGGTAGCAGGGTCTACGGTATACTGCTCAGGATCCACATCACCGTGGGTCTTACAAGGGTTCCGCTATGAGGACTTTGCCGTAGTTGTGTATTTTTCCTTTTATGGGTACTTAAACCCAATTAGGAACAAAACATGTACATTGGTAATCCTATCCCAACCATGAACTAGAGGAGAGGTAGGCAGCGATGGTGGCTCGCTTGAAACGGCTGTCACGTTCAGAAACTCCAGAAGGCCAGCTCCGCTTTATTCGTTAACTATGTACCACTGCCATGGAGTACCTAGCAGCCTAGCACTTCTACAAATAGTAGTGCATGTGTGTATATATATATACACACACATTTACATACATATCTAATTAAAATACCTATACATATATAAATATATATATATATATACATACACATATATATATATATGTATATACACATACATGCGTACATACATATGTACATACATACACGCGCACACACACACACACACACACACACACACACACACACACACACACACACACACACACACACACACACACACACACACCCACACCCACACCCACCCACACCCACACCCACACCCACACCACACCCACACCCACACCCACACCCACACCCACACCCACACCCACACCCACACCCACACCCACACCCACACCCACACCCACACCCACACCCACACCCACACCCACACGCACACCCACACGCACACGCACACGCACACGCACACATTTTGAAATCGACTCGACTCTGTAGACAACTAGTCCTACGGTGCTGCAAGATGGGATGAGTCTATAGCGATCTTCGGAGCTGTTGAGCTCGGATATTTGAGGAGGGTCCTTAGTAAAACCACGGTTAGGGTTCAAGGTTTAGGGATTATGTTAGGGTCCCTACCAAGAGGGTCCGTATCACAGCAAGACACGGCCCCGAAACCTTGAAATCCCAACACCCCTAAGCCCTAAGAACCCATGCAGTTGTAGCTCCAAGTTCTCGCAGCTTGGCAGGTTGGACTATCTCCATACCTGTCGCGGTACCATGGGTGAAGCTCGCTTCGTCACCTGGTGCAACTTCTTACCTTTGGTTAGTAGGGAATTTTAGAATGGGGTACAATTATGACTACTATTACTATCAATCTTCCATTCCCAACTAACTAACGGTAAGTTGATTTGGTAGTTGAGGCTTGTCATGGTGCATACTCATTGACAGTTTGGGTGTCGGACTTATGTTGGGCACCAAGGACAGTAGCAACTAGGATGTTGTGGTTTGCTTTCTTATGAGCCCAGCGCAACGGCATTTTTTGCCAGCACGCCCTAGAAAATACGGACAGCAAGGCAACAAGCCTGCAGTTGAATTGGTGTTGGAAGTTAGGATTTTCGTTTCTCCCTTTGCGGAGCTTGCGAATTCACTTCTGCATAGATCAAGCAAAAGGCATCCGAATCCGAAGCTTAACTCGCGAGTCAAACCGAAATGCCGTCTGTTGTGTTCAGACTGACACGCTTTTGACGTCAGATGTGCTCACGGCTCGATGCTCGAGATACTTCTGTCCTAAACGCCCCCCAAAATCAGGCCATGGAGCGTCAGAGAGCCCTGGCCAGCAGTGTGATGACACGCTCATCTGGTTTTAGGGTTTAGGTCCGTTTAGTTGGGGTTAGAGTTTCATCGTTCAGGATTTGTGCGCTCAGCTTTCTGCAGTATGGGTTTTCGATGTTTAGAGTCTTAGGTATGGTATAGGCTAAGCCGGTTGCGCGGCGCCATATAAGTCCCTACAGCGGAATGCCATGGTTTTTTTGTAGGGTCTTTGCACAGTCTGCAAATGGCAAGCTTGTTTGCAAGTCGGTCCCTGGGGAAGGTGGTTTCCTGTAGTTAGATAAAGGAAAAAGGGGAGGAGTCGGCTAAGCTGAGACAGACTGCTCGGCTACCCTACTCTTTGAAGAAAATCGTGACTGGAACGAGCAGTTGCAGAATTAGCAAAGCATCGGCGACAATGTGTGCTGGCATGCTCTTTCCAAGAGGTTGCCATTTCAGAAGGGAACGAGCTCTTGGCCTTGCAAAAGCAGCTGGCACTAGCAGGGAGCTGCCTCTGCAACCATGGACCAACAAGGAGGCATGGAATGCCGAGAAGAACCACGAGCAGAGGGGCCACCCGGCCGACTCCCAGCAGCCAGGACAAGGCTGGTAGGTCAACATGGACATCCCCGGCTGGGCAGCGAGGAAGGGTTTATCCTACTGCTGAGATGACATGAAACCCAAGGCTGTGAAGGAAATGGGCAAAGACGCAGCCAACCGAGTCCACGGGCAAGCTATTGCTAGGCCAAGAATTGGAGCTCTAGGCGGAGAGTTTAAGCTTATATTATGGCCACGGGATGCACAAACCCTGCATCGTGAACTACACAAGCCGTATCAGTGCTAACGTCCAAAGACAACATTCAAGCCCCGTTCCCGGATCTTAAATACTCTCAACCTCAGCTTCGCACCCACAGACAGAAGATACAATAACACAGGACAGAACATCTCAGTCTCAGTTATCGGTTCTCCACGCCTCAAGGCATAAAGACCTTCTTCCCCTAAATCCTAAACCCTAAGCCTCAAACCCTAAAGGCCCCAAACCCTAAACCCTTCCGTACTTTGGAAGACCATGGTCTGGGACCTCCGCATGCTCTGCTGGTTACATGTTGTCTTTATTGCCCGGAAGATCCGAGCAATGTAGCAGTCGAGTTAGCGAAGCCTATTCTAAGTACTAAGGCCCCGTTTTCGTCCTTTTCCGGTATCAATAAAGGGCCGCGTACTTGCATGTTATGTTGGTTGACCAAGAGTAGCTGAATCTGAAAGTGTTGAATACGTGGGCTTTATCCTGGTTTGGGAATCTACTGTTACGGCTTTTGGATCTAGGCCTTTCATGCAAGGTTGAACCATCAGCAGCATTTGCTAGCAGTGCAGGAATGACACTGTATACCTTGCGGCTTTCTTTACGTTTGTAGACCCAGCCCGAAAGCCCAAGAGCCCGGCTGACTGCATTTCTGAAGTTGTCAAGCCTTACTCAAACCGTATAGTAACCCCTACAGTGCGCCCTTAGAGGCCCTTTTAAAGGAACCCTACTCTACTTCTTAAGGCCCCTAAATAGCCCAACCTTCGGGGTAGGGCTGATGATATAAATCCTGCATTCCCCATAATACGGAATATATGGAAAGTATGGCACATTCCTTATTATGGGTCATGCAGGATTTGTATCATCAACCCTAAACCCTAAACCCCCTATAGATCCCTTCCTGGAGCCCCTTAAAGGTACCCTTATAGATCCCTTTAAGGGAACCCTAGGATTTATATCTTACATGGGAGTTTCCGAAAATAGGGGACCCTAACATAGTGCCCAAAATAGTAGGATCCTTATTATAAGGACCCCCAAACAAGGTACCCCTAGTTTTCGGAAACTCTAGACCCTAAACCCTTTATAGAACTCTTATAGATCCCTTTAAGGGAACCCTAGGATTTATATCATCAACAGCATTGCACGGCGCTCCGAGGACTCGAGATGCAGGCAGATCTGAGGTCAGCGGAGAAATACAGCGTGGAGGACCCAAGGGGGTTTAGGGTTGTCAAGGGATTAGGAGTTTAGGGTTTAGGGGTTTAGGGTGTAGGAGTTTAGGGTTTAGGAGTTTAGGGGTTTAGGGTTTAGGGGTTTTGGGGTTAAGGTTTAGGAGTTTAGGGGTTTAGTGTTTAGGAGTTTAGGGTTTAGGGTTTAGGGTTTAGGAGTTTAGGGGTTTAGGGTTTAGGAGTTTAGGGTTTAGGAGTTTAGGGGTTTATTTAGGGGTTTAGGGTTTAGGAGTTTAGGGGTTTAGGGTTTAGGAGTTTAGGGGTTTAGGGTTTAGGGGTTTAGGGTTCAGGGTTTAGGGTTTAGGAGTTTAGGGGTTTAGGGTTTAGGGATTTTGGGGTTTGGGGGCTTACCCTTAGGCTCTTAGGACTCATATTTTAAAGACCATACTATATAAGGCTTTTGGGCTATTTTGAGCCTTAGCTTTAGGCTTGCAAGGGTTTAGGGTTTAGGGTGTAGGGTTGTCAAGGCAGTTGTAAGGGTTTAGGGTTTCGGGTTTTAGGGTTTGGGGTTAGACCTGTTTTTGCAGGGTTTAGGGCAGCTTTGGGATTGTTTGTGGACCTCAAGCCCCTATATAGCTTAGATAGTGAACGGGGGAACTTTAAACTTTTTGGCCTTATATTTATTAGCTCTATCTTAGGAAGCTTGAACTTTTGGGGGCCCGGTTGTTGAAGAAGAGAGATAGAAGTCTGAGCAATTTTTGAACTTATTCCCGAGGTCGCTTTCTTGCAGTTTTCGAGAATCCACCCCAAGACTCCGTGCGAACTATTACCAGGCTGTTCAGTGGTACACTTTTTTACTTTCAGGTTTCTAGGTTCCTATCATAAAATGAGAAGCTGAAAAAGTATGTACTTGTTCCTACTGATCAGCCTAGATTAAGGGCGCGAAACCCTGCTTGTGTATTGCTTTCTGCTTGAAGGCTCAGGAAACTTCGTAAGTATGCTTGTAAGTGTAGTCAGGGTTGTAGTTCACGAGAAGCAAGGTGTATTCACCCTGATTGCAATAACATATTTTTACCATATGAGAGTTTCTAAAAGTTAGGGGTACCTTATTTTTGGGTCCTACTATTTGGCATTTGGAGTACGATGTTAGGGTCCCATCTTTTCGGAAACCTCCATCTTCCTACTATTTGGCATTTGGAGTACGATGTTAGGGTCCCATCTTTTCGGAAACCCCCATATTAACTGTGTCCCGGTGATCTCTTTAACTGGTGTTTTGCCGAAGTTCAGAGCTCCAGTCTCCTCCTTCAAGCCCTGGGACTCGGAGTTCGGAGAAGTGGAGTTCAGGGTTCGGGGAAACTTACGGCGTCGGGGCTGTGGCGCTAAACCCTAAAGCCCTGAACCGTTGCGGCCAGGGCTTGCCTCGAAGCCTAAACCCCGAATCTTAAGCTCCGAAACCCAAATCCTGAGCCCCAATAACCTAAAGTAAAAGCCAGAAAGTTGGAATATGATTATCCTAAGCCCTTTATGGTAAGTTATAAGGTATCCTACCCTGAAACCATATTCCAACTTTCTGGAGTTCCCTGTAAGTCCCTCATCCCCAAGACCCCACAGGAGAAACCGAAGCAAGCACGCTGCGCCTTCTCTGCGCAAACTCGTGGGGACCTGGGATGTACTTAGTCTTGGGTTCGACGACTTAGCAGCAGTACTCCTTTACAGTCCATACATAAATCAACTCTCTCTCTCTCTCTCTCTCTCTCTCTCTCTCTCTCTCTTGCTCGCTCTCCGTATTGACTGATATATATATATATATGTGTGTGTGTATGTATATATATGTATATATATGTATAAAATTTACATCTGTATCAACAAATTGTATATATGCTTACATAACCTACACACACACCCTACAACCCTATTCTCATGATTAAGGCTCCTAAATGATGGTCATTTCATGGACTAAGACAAGCTTGTAGGGCAGAGCCTTCTAGACGAGTTACAGGGAACTCCAGAAAGTTGGAATATGGTTTCTTGGTAGGATACCCTATAATCTACCATAGAAGGGTTAGGATAATCATATTCCAACTTTCTGGCTTTTACTTTAAGTTCTTACGGCGGCCTTCCCAAAAGTAGCTCAGGCTTCGCCTGCATAAGACAGTAAAACTCCCACCTCGAGGCCCAACTTCGCCCAAAGCCTCAACCCTAAACAGTACCTGGACCCTACGGAACCTACCTTTTTAGGGTTCCTTAATATGATTTCTTTATATAAGTCCTGAACAAAATAGCTAAAGCCAGGTTTCTGGTTCAGGGGTTTAGGCTTTAGGGTTAGTTTCATGATCCTAACTAAACTGTCTTCCCGACGACACGAGAGAGGGTTTGGAGTCACAGAAAAAGGGCTAGGATGAGTCTGGGCTTTGAGGTTCAGGGTTCAGGGCTTGGGGTAGGGTACTGCTCTGGCTGTACCCGAAGCCCTAAAGCCGTTGTTCCTGGTCCTTAGTCCTTGCACAACCTTTTCGTGCTCTTGGTGGCTTGAGGGCCTTCTGGTGTGAGCAGACATGATCTTGGACTCGCCCTCCCTAAACCCTAAACCCTAAACCCTAAACCGTGAGACTTTAGAGCAAAGTGCCTACCCGCCAAGCATGGATTCCTTAAAGCGCGAAAGTTTAAAGCCTGAAGCCCGAAGCTTTTGGGGTTGGGGTTTATCATAGGGATCCTTAGGGGTGTAGGGGACTATATTTCCTTAACTAGGCCTTATTAGTCCTTATTATGGGCCTTAAGGCCCCCTACCCCCCCTCCCCCTACACCCCTAAGGATCCCTATGAGTTTAGGGCCGTTTAGGCTTTAGGGGTTTTGAATTGAAGCCTAAACCCTGGATGCAACAACCTTGAAGCAGCAGCTCCATGTTGAACAAAGCAGCGACAGCCTAACGGCAGCCTATAACCCCAAGCCCAGAAAGCCACGTCCTAAACACGCAGCCCCAACATTTTGCCACTTACGAGACGTCTAAGCAAATCTAAGCCTCTGAAAGCCCAGAATCCAGACCCTGAAACCTTGAGCCCCAACCTAAACCAAGCTGGCCCTACATAAGCCCTGAAGCACACCGCACCCAGATGAGAGCACTGGCAGACACAAGTCACTTCAACTTTTTATAAACAAACCAAGCTGTGTTCGCGGCATTTCGGCTCTATAGGGTGCGGACATAGGTGAAATATGGGCCCCGTCAGCTGAGAGGCACAGCATGGCTTGAGCGGGGTTGGGTTTAGGGTGCTCGAAGCCGTAAACCCTAAGCCCTAAACCCTAAACCGTATTCAGTCACTGTATAAATGGGCTTAGGATTCAGGCGCTCTGAGTTGACTAGGATGCCCAGTAGTACCCTTATTCCCTTTTTGTAGTCCTAGGTTCCTTATAAAGTTACCCAATACCAAAAAGAGAGGCCTTTCGATTCTTAGGTTACTGGGTATCCTAGTTGAGATTTCTTATTGCAGAGTTCTGCTTTCTACTGGAGGGCAGGGAGACTATCGTCATAGCTTCTGCTAGCACTGCTGATGCTTGCTGGCAACTCCGCAGCGTTAAACAGCCCAGCTGTAAAGTTTGCCCATAAAGGTTAGTCTTCCAAAACACAATACAGTGGCTCTGGGGCTTCAATCGACGTCTTTGAGTGTCACGAAAATGACAGTGGGGTGATCCCACTTTCCAAGAATCGACTTAAACGATGCGGAACAGAACCTATCGAACACTCAAAATGGCACCCCTCATTTTCAGAAAAATTGCATACGCACTACCACCTGACATCAAAAAGGTTGGATGAAACACTGCATGATTCCTTTACACACGGCTTTTGCACAGCATACTCAGCACAGCTTTCTGATCATGGGATTCTACTTGTTCACTTACTTACTAAGTCCCACGATTTTTTGGAAACACAGGATCGGACGGAAGCGCTCCCATGTTGCCAAGACGGTAAGCCGCCTTTCGTCTGCTGCACGGGCTAGTTATCTAGGTAGGGCTTTGGCATATGTCACATATTTCTGGGGCTTAAGGAGATACATATCCAGAAGCTGTAAAAGGCCGTCTTAGTCTAGTGTTGCTCGTGTTGCTCTCGTAGCTGAGTAGGTCTTCTTCAGTCTTTCAGGGCTTCACGGTTTCAGGATATCAGATATCCACTTTGCGGGGTGTGGGTTAAGAGCTTTGGGTTGAAGTATCCTCAACCCTCGCATCAGGGCCCGTGGCCGTGGCGGTGCGCCAGCGACCGCGGGGTATGTCGGCCAGCCGGCCGAACAGTCGCCCAAGGGCTTCGGGCTCAAGGGCTTCGGGCTCCATAATTACCAATACTATTCCTGAGAGTTCCATGTCAGAAATCTACATCATAATATACCCCAAACTCATTCGAACTATTCAAGCCCGTGTTTTAGGTTTCTCCGTGTTACATCCTCCCGGGGGTGACTCCTTTTTCTCTGTAGCATTCAGAGCTTTTGGGATACCGAAGCTTTTGGCTCAATGTTGGATCTGTTCTATGTCTGGTTGACCCAAACCCTTAGGCTCTAAGGACTCATAGTTAAGGCTTTAAGTACCCAAATAGTATATACTTTGGCCCCAAAGTACCAATTTTGGGACTTAAGGCCTCAGTCCTAAGTACATACTATGTGGGTACATGGATCCTTTGGGTGAGGGCCATGGATGCCAGGAAGGGCAGGGTTAGGCTTCAGGTAGGCACGAGGGCATCTCGGGTACGGAGCTTACAGCCTGTAGATTCCTGTCGGTAGGCGGCTGTTGTATGTTCAAGCGCAAGCCTTCCCCTAACACCCAATAACCTACCTTGTTAGGGACTTATAATCAAGGAAATCATAGTAAGGAACACCCTTTTAGGGTTAAGGTCAGGCCTAAACCCCATAACTTAGCTTTTAGGGGCTTGTAAGGAAATCATAGTAAGGAACCCCAGAAGGGTAGGTTATTCCTGGTTACGGTCAGACCTAAACCCCATAGTAGTTGGCATGAACCCCGATCCGTCGGGCTTGGAATCTTTGCAGCCAGAAAAACATCGAATTCAGTAGGCCCTTGGTGTAGGATTGCAGGAAGCCGGTACAAGTTGACACAGTATCATCCTCGTAATGCTTTACACCTGAGTGCGCAGACTTCGATCCAGACCCCAAAGTATGTAGAATAACAGCCTTTTCTAGGTGTTGGGCGATTACTTTACCTACTTTGGGGGGCTTAGGTAAATACTCAACCCTAAACCCTGAACATTTGAAACCTAAGCCCTAAACCCTTGAACCCTAAGCCCTTGAACCCTAAACCCGTGAACCCTAAACCCTCAACCCTTGAACCCTAAACCCTTGAACCCTTGAAACAAGAAGCTTTACAGCCCTGGAGCTTCCTCCATTTCCCCCTCGGGACCATGATCCCCAAAAGCCCTTACCCTTAGGCTCTAAGGACTCATATTTTGAGGCTTTTGAGCCCAAAGACCATACTATATAAGGCTTTTGGGCTATTTTGAGCCGTAGGGTTACATTTGAAGTTCAATGCTTCTTCAGTTGCCGCGCTACGTTATAAGGAACAACGGAGGAGTAGCGAAAAACTGGGCTTTGGAGTACCATACTTTAAGACTTTGTTTCTCAAAGGCACCATTATGAAACACAAGTCTATAAGTCCATACTGTTTTCTGCCTGGTTACGTAAAAGCCCAGAAATATAGATCCCTTAATTAATATGGGACGCTATACTACTAAAGGGCACTTCTAGGAGCCTCCTTAAAGCAAAGGATCTACTTTTTCGATCCAAGGATCCTCGAAGGAGTATCAGTCAGAAGCTGGGAGAAGTTGCCCAGAAGGCCCAAAAGGCGCCTCGCTCTTCCCTTTTGGTTGGGGTTCATAGGTTCGTAGGGATTTAGAGCTTAGGGTTCAGGGTGTTTGGGTTTCGGGTTTAGGGTTTCGGGTGTAGGGTTTGGGGTTAGACCTGCTTTTGTAGGGTTGAGGGCAGCTTTGGGATTGTTTGTGGGTTGGGTTGCTACCTCAAGCCCCGAAATAGCTTAGATAGTGAACGGGGGGGAACTTTAAACTTTTTGGGCTTATATATCAGATCTATCTTAGGAAGTTTGGACTTTTGGGGGCCCGGTTGTTGAAGAAGAGAGGTTGGGGTTCATAGGTTTGTAGGAGTTTAGAGCTTAGGGTTCAGGGTATGTTTGGGTTTCAGGGGGTTGGGATGTGGGGCCTAAGCCCTGAACCCTAGAAGAGCTGAACTGTTGTTTTGATGTTGGTATTTCGGAGTTTTCTGGTTCGAATTTGGGGGCCTGAGCTATTGCTGGCCAGTGGTTTTTCGGGCTTCGTGGGCTTTTGGCGTCGCAGGTCGGGGTCTTGAGGCTGCTGATGGGAACAGTCAATCTATGAACCCAATCAAAAAGGTAGAGCACAACCCTGAAGTATCTTGAGTAATTACCATAAAGCTCGAATTGAAGCCGAAGCCCCGCATCCGCCCCGAACCCGAGCACCCTAGAATTCTAAAGCCCTAAGCCCTTAAGCAGCCTTAAGCCCGAACCCCCCAACCCCGTCCCACGTACCTGTATAGTAGCAACTAAGATTTCTACATATACTACCTGGACCCTACGGAACCTACCTTTTTAGGGTTCCCGAATATGATTTCTTTATATAAGTCCTGAAAAGGGTAGTTTACATGGGGTTAAGGTATGAATTACGATTATGGTTGGGGTAAATACCGCCCATATAAGAGTTAGGACCCTTGGAAGTGCAGAGCAGGCACTGCGGCCAGCCGCCTTGCCTTCCGCCTTCACTCAGCTGAATGCCGAGACGAAGGAGGTCCAAGACAGGCCTCGGTAGATTTAGGCCATGGATTTTGGAAGTGTATGGCTTAGGAGTTTACGGTTTTGGGAGCAGGAGTTCAGGGTTTGGGGTTGAGGGTTTAGGTGTTCAGAACTCTAGGAGTTTCGGGTTTAGGGGTTGAATTAGGGGTTAAGCGGTTCAGGGGCAAGGGATACCTGAGGCGACAGACTCTTTGTGTGTAGGCATTTGGGAGCATACAACTATAGGGTGTAGGTCCTGCTTGTATCCCCCACCACCTACCGCTTCTCAACGGGGTTGTTATGTAAGGGTTATATGCATGCATGCATCTTTTTTGCGCACACACACATTGGTATACTCTGTGATGCATGCATGCATGCATGGATGTATTTTTGTATGTATGTACGTACGGAGGGATGGAGGGATGCATGCATGTATGCATGCATGTATGTACCCATAGGCTCCATAGTAGTTCCGTTTTGGGATTACCTTATAGAGTCCTAAATATGAACCCCCAAAGAACGAACTCCTATGGAGCCTCTAGGTAGGGATGTATGTAGCGATGCTTAAGCCGAAACCCTGAGCCCCAGACCCGTAGGCTCCTAAACCCAGGACTGGACAGTTTTAAAGCATATCCTTAAATACTGAGCAGTTTACATAGGGTTTAGGGTTGGAGGGTTGGAGGTTTAGGGTTTGGGGCTTATGGTTTAGAGTCTGGGGTTTAGGGTTTAGAGGTTAGGGTTTAGGGTTTAGAGCCCTGAACTTCCGAAGCATTCCCAGATGGAGCCAAGCTTGCTTCTGCAGGGCGGCATCCCACATGGCGAACACCAGCAGCTTCAATCTCGTGATCGGAGTGCCCCGGCACGTTCTCAGAGGTTTCTTGCATTCGAAGGTGCCTAACATGGGGGGTCTTTCGCATCGTTTGTGGAATCGACTGCTGCATCAAAGGCTTGAGTGTGTCCCAACCTCCTTGCTTGAATTTTGGCAATTTATACCCAAACCACACAGACCCTAAACCCTAAACTCCTAAACCCTGGACCCTAGACCCTAAACCCCAAAACCGTACAATCTACCTTCAGCCTGAATATTGGAAGCTTGTGATGAAGCTGTCCATCACGGCTGGCAACTGCACCCTAAACCTCAAACCTGAGCCCGCACCCTGCATCGTTATAGCTTAGCCTACCCAGAGACTCCAATATCCCTTAATTAAGGAATATACCTTAAATCATATAAGAATCCTACTATATTTCAATGTATATTCCTTAATTAAGGGATATTGGAGTCTCTGGGTACTACAGGTGAGTAGTCGAGCGCTTCTGCACGCCGGGTTCAACCCCATGCGCCACGTCCACTTCCCTGAACCCTAAACCCTAAACCCTCATACTTGTTGGGCTCGTCATTGTCGGTGTGCTCTTTCTCCCCATGCAGCTTGCAAAACCGTTCAATCATCAGCATCAAGCCCTTCAACGAAAGGTTTGAGCGGACGAAGAGGGAGCCCTAGACCCAGTTCTACTACTATCGTCTGGTCGTGGTGAGACTGTGTGGTACAGAAGTAGTAGCAATTGTACATTGACCTATTCACGAACAGTAGAACTGACCAGCAACATAGTCTCGAGAGGTGATGCTTTGCATCAACACCGTCATCATCGGGATTGAAACCGACTACTCCCGTGGCAGAGCCTTAGAGGAGTGCATGCTGCGATGTTTTGTTTTGGGAGGTGTGTTTCTGCTTTGGAACGTGTGTGTGTGTGTGTGTCTCTGTGTGTGTGTGTGTGTGTGTGTTTGTGTTTGTGCGTGTGTGTGCTTGGGTGGGTGGCTTGGTGGGTGGGTGGGTGGGTGGGAGGGTCGGGTTTTAGGGGTTCTGATGCTCTCAGGTTCTGCATTGGTTTTATAGAGATGGCTTTGAAAGCGATGCTTGGAAGACCTGTTGGAGATTTGTGTTTGAGGCCTTTGGGATACTCCGAGTCGTGTCAGTTTACGCTCATACACGCACACACACACACGGATGTGTTAACACGAAGTTCTAACATGTGAATATACAAGAATATATAAGGTTCTCTGTATAGCAGCTTTAGCAGTATAGCATGTCATGAAGCGTGAACATGGTTTGTCACAATCACACTGCCACATGTTCAACTTTTAGCTGGCAGCCTAAACCCCACCTTGAGCCTTCTACTTGTACTTAGTAGCTGAATGGATACACTTTGCACTTTCCGGGATAATATGACCCACCGTAAAACTAAAACTGTACACTTTTGGGGGCTTATGAACTCAGCACCTTAAGTATAGGTGGAGTTACACTCAGCAGACCTCGATCCACATGCGCCGAAGTCCTTGCGTGTGGGCCGTGAGCGCATGCCAGCCATGGCTGCCAGTGTAACCTATAAGGTAAAAGCCAGAAAGTTGGAATATGATTATCCTAACCCTTCTATGGCAAACTATAGGGTATCCTACCATGAAACCATATTCCAACTTTCTGGAGTTCCCTTTAGGGCTCGCGTAATCGCGAAGCCCGCGAAACCCCAAGCAACTTTCGAGGCCCTCGTTCTCCTTGAGCATCAATGTGTGATTTGACTCTCATGAAGACAAGAACTAGCATGCCCAGTAGTACCCTTAGGGATCTTTAAGGGTTCCTTAAAGGGATCTATAAGGGTTTGTAGAATTCCCGCGTCAGGCAGCAGACTTGATAGGTAGAGTTCCACTTCTTTGAGTTGCAGCCGCTGAGGCTAACGGTGGGGCGGAGCCCCATGATCGGCAGAAGCCACCTAGACCATGATCGGCAGAAACCAGCTAGGTCATGATAGGCAGAAGCCAAGCACGCATTTGACAGAGCATGTACAGACGTAGTCTTGATGACACGCACTTTGTCGGTTGAGTGAAAACAATTCGCAATGGAAGCTTCGCGGTCTTAGGGCATGGAGAACCCTAACGAGCAAGATCGTGAAGTTCCTCAGGTTATGAGTCGCCCAAATGACTCCAGTGCGCGCTCACAGAGCGGCGAGGCCTCTGCCCAGGTTGTAAACGGTGTTGGACCTCCTCTACGAGGACGCCTAGACATGGACGATGAGGTAGCTGCCGCACAGGGAGATTTAGATCTCGGTGATGCCCGAACCGAACAGCAGCCACCGGGAATCCCTTCTTTGAGACCTGAGACAGATCTACCTGACTCTGCGAGAGACTTTCTGCAAGGGCCGAGAAGCTCAGCTCCCGAAGCTGGGCCTGGACACTCAGCCCCTTCTGCGGGCCAGAAGTTCTCTTTGCGTCAAGAACAACTAGCTGGACCTATGGGATCTGGAGGGGCGTCGTCGAGGATGCCTCCTGATCCAATGTCGGCGACGGCAAGGGTGATGAGATCTGGAGATAGTGTGGAATACGCTTCTGTGACATCGCCTGTCTTAAGGGAAGACGTGAATCCGCAAATTCTGGATGGTCAGGATGTTAATGCCTCGCTGCTGGGAACGAATATTATGCGGAGGCTTCAGCAGCTTCATGCTTCGGCTCCCCAGCTGTATGGCAGAATTCCTGAAGATATTCCACCACGCCCGCCGTCGACTACTTCAAGTGACATCCAGTTGGAAGTTCGGAGACAACTAACAGAGGTGATGGCTTTGCATGAGGAAGAGAGTAGGAGACTTAGAGCGCAGGTAGAAGCTTTGGTAGCAGAGAACTATGAACTTAGGACGAATTCTATGAATGATGTACAGGATAGACAACCTACTTCACGACCGTGGCTGATGACTACGGGTGGGTTTCCTGGACTTGGATGGTTAGGGAGAGGTCTAGGCTCCTTTATAGGGGGATCGCCTCCTCCACCTCCTCAGCCTATGGACTTAAGGGCGGATCCCAACAGGATGTTTCCTTCCATCGCTGGAACAAGTCATCAGGCTTTGGACTTACAGCCTATTCCTCCACCTCCACCACCTCCGGTCCCGATAGGAACCTCGATGATGGCCCAGCAACCAGGCTCGACGGAAGTCCCAATGATTATGCCACCTGCAGTAATGCCGAAACAGTTGGGTTTAGTCCCTCCTAGACCTAGTGCCGAACGGAACCCAGACCCTGAATTAGGTAATGCTGTAGGAGGAGAACGTACTGCTGAGCATGGTATTCCTTCCAGTAACCTAGACCCTATGAACGTAGTCCTCACAGGAATGGCTCAGCTGCAAGGTTTGGTTACTGAGTTAGCAACCAGCCCAAAGGGATCGACGAAACCAGAACTGGTGAAGCCGGGATCTGTGGCTCTTCCAGAGCTACCGGCACCAGGCCCCGAGGGATGCCTACTGTTTGCAGATTGGATTCACGATAGTAGGCCGGCTCTCTCGGATGTTTCTGATAACTCCGAGGTTTTGTGGCAACTGGTGCTGAGTGAGTCTGAGCGCTGGTATAAGGAATATTTGATGTTAGGGCCAATGGAAAGGTTGGTTTCTAAGCCAAAGCCCACCAGTGAGTTGCAAGACCCTAAGTGGAGTAGGGTGTCAAGGCGTATAGAATCTATGATTATAAGTGCCGCACCGGCAGCTGTCCGGCAGGAGTTGAGTGCAGCCAGAGTCTCGGGATTGCTTAATGTGGTTTCGAGGTTGTTTTGCATCTACGGTCCGGGCGGCATAGCTGAACGAGAACTGGGGTTGAAGCATATTCAAGAACCCCCGGTAGCAAGCTCAATCCAAGAGGCGATCGACGGGCTACGCCGCTGGAGACGGTGGTGTCACCGTATGACAGAGCTCGGTGGCACACTTCCGGACTGTGCCATTAGGGCTCGCGCCTTGACGAAGTTATCACGACAGGTGCTATCCCAGCACCCGGACATATCCTTTCGGATTAACTTGATAAGGGCTGAACTTCAAGTGGACTTGACACCTTCGGATGATAAGGTTGAGAAACTTCATGGGCAATTGCTTAGTGAGTTCGAGGCTGTGAGTAACAGGAAGGATAAGGACCAGGATAAGGACAAATCCGGTTCCAATACTTCCCAACCGTCAGCTAAGGTTAAGGGTGTTGAAGCTAGCGACGCTACGCCCCCCCCACCAAAGGGCCCTAAGCCTAAGAGCGCAGCCAAGCCCTCTCAACCTACCCCGAAGGTAGGCCAGTCTGCAGAAGGAGTGTCTGCGGGTAGACCGCCATGCAGTTTTTACACTTCGGCCTCCGGATGTAAGAAGGGAATGGAATGCACGTTTGAGCATGATTGGAATGCCATACCGGCAGCAGAAAGATCACAAAGGTGCAAGTCGTGTGGAGCTAAGGGCCACAAGGCAGCAGAGTGCAAGGCAGGGAGCAAGGAAGGAAGCCCTAAAGGAAAGGGTAAAGGATATGGTAAGACCAACCCTAATCCGAATGCTAGCTCCAGTGCCGTTACGTCTCCGCCACCTCCCCCTGCTGGGACGGATGCTCGTCAGATAAAGTCAATGCTGGCAGACGCAGCATTGATTCTTCAGCAAGCAGCCCCGGTAGCAGCTGAGGCCCAACAGCCCCAATCGACTCCTGTGAATACCTCCACTCAAGATGCAACGGGAGGTGCACCTTCAGGAGTTACCCCAGGCACGCCAGTGACCTTAGCAGCCTTGCAGGCCCAGTTGGATTCACTACGTTCCATGACACGAGACTTCGGAGTCCGAACAGTGACTACTGCGGAGAGAGAGCTCTCGGAGAGGATTGAGGCTGTGGCCTTACTGGACAGCGGGGCGACGCATGCAGTCATCCCATACAATCCTTCTCTCCAGGACCTGGATTCTGTGCCAGTTACCTTAGCCGGTGACGCCCGTGATCAGTGGTGGAAGACTAAGGGTGGTACGTTGGTAGTTCCCCCACAAGGTCAGCCAGCGAATAGTAAGGAGTTGCAGATGATACTTCCGTTTGGAGCCCTTGTTCAGACTTTGGGTTGCAAGGTGAGTTGGAGTAAACGTAGCGGCCTTACTGTTATCCACCCGAGGCTTGGAAGGTTGAAAACAGGGATTAGTAAGAATACGTGCCCCTTCGTGCAAGAAGAACAAGCGTTGGCCCTCATAGCAGAGCTCGAGGAGCGCAGATTGGCACAGTTTGAGGAAGAAGTACAAACTTTGCATTGCCACCTTGAAAGTTTGGAGAAGCCCTTGGACCCTACGGAAGCTTTGAGAATCTTTGCGATGTCAGGATCGAGGCAAGACGCTTTGAGAGCGGTATTGGCCCAGCCTTACTTTTCCGATGCGCGAGAGGACCTGAGGTCCCGCCTAGCGGAGCAATTGCCGGGTTTTGATGAGGAATCTGGTAAGGAAGTGTTAAAGGGCTTACCGCTCAATAGGGCATCTAGAAGGGAACTTCTTTCATCGAGGCGATGGCTTGTGCATTTGTGTTCTGGAACTCCAGAGCGTAACGACCCTCTGCGTGAGTGGGCCCAAGAAAGAGGTGTGAAGCTTCTTCAGGTTGATATCCAAGGAAAGGGAGGTAGAGGCTGGGATCTTGGTCAGTCGAACGGCGTATGGAAGGCACTACTGTGGGCCGCTGCGTCAGGAAGGGTTGTAGGGATCCTAAGTTCCCCACCTCCCATAAGGGACGAAGTAAGCCTGGCCTTAAACCTGCAGCCCATGTTCCTTTGGTCACTGGCATCCGTCACAAAAGGAACGGGTATCCCTTACCTATTTGAGCATGCCCTTATGCAAGATAAGGTACCGGAACACTTTGCCTTGTGGTCCGGTGGACGGTGCGAAAGGATTGGAAGCAAGGTGGACTCTGGTTTGAAGGTGATTACAAACTTGGATCTGGGCTTCGTGGAAGATTTGGAGTTTGAGGGAAGGAAATGGTCCAAGGGACTCAAAAGGGTGATTGCACAGGCTTTATCAGGTAGACCACGCGTTCAGGCTGTGGAAGCGTTGGACCAAGCTATCACGAAAGGGCTTGCAGCTATAAAGCCATGTGTAAGCAAGGATGTATGCCAGAGTGAAGATGAAGATGAAGAAGGTGAAAGGTTGAATAGGATGTTTGAGCAGGAGAGTCAGTTCTCCTCGTCTGACGAGGAAGAGATTCTTCCCAATCTAGATGAAGGCCAGGCAGGCACACAAGGCGCATCGCAGGATCCAAGGGTGAATGAGGTCAAGGAAATGTCTCAGGCATCACTAGATGGATGGCGAAGGCACTTGATGAACGGACATACTCCGTATAGGAGAGATTGTAAGCACTGTGTGGAGGGAGCAGGGTTAGGGGTGTTTCACAATAAGGTAAAACATCCACGATCGTTCAGCCTCTCTATTGACCTATTTGGTCCAGTGCCACGGCCAGAAGCGGGCCGTGATGAAACTTGCGTCACTGGCAAATGCACCATGAGGTACGGCTTAGTTGGGGCTTTCAGAGTTCCTAGGAAGGTTTTGGGTTCAGCACCTGGTGTGGATGGTGTTGGGGACCTCTTTTCACCTAAGGGTCCTAACCAGGCTCCACTTCCAGCAGATGTGGACCGTGAGGAGTATCAGCCGTCAGAACCAGGTGAGGAGCTCTTTCCAGAGTTGTTCGATGTTCCAATTGAGCCCATGGTAGAGGAAGCACTTGAACCGATTGAGGTTAAAGGTGTAGCGCCTGAGGAGGAGTCAGAGTCCTTGCTGAAAGATGATGAAGGTTTGCCTGATGATGATGAAGGTCTGAAGGCATTGGTGTCAGAACTCCAAGAACCAGTGGAGCAAGTGGTTCTAAGGTTCTTCTTGCCATTAAAGACTAAAACAGGACCCGAAGTCACCGAAGCCGTTCAGCAGATGATACTTGGAATAAGTAAGGACTACCCAGTAAAGTCCCTTCATCACGATCCGGGAACTGAATTTTCCACTACGGTACTTTCCCGCTGGCTAGCAGATAAGGGCATAAGGGTCCAGCACTCTCTGCCAACAGACAAAAGAGGCAACGGTTTAGCGGAAAGGACTGTAGGTTGGGTGAAGGAGCGAATTAGGACTCTTCTGGGTGCCACTTCAATGCCGATACATTGGTGGCCGTTGGCCGCAAGATGGGCAGTCCATAAGCATAATTCCATCCTCCTAGGCTTGGCCCCGCCACCTGCCTTTGGACAGAAGGTCCTCCACAGGGTCAAGAGACCAGCCGATGGGGCAAAGCAATTGATGGAGCGTTGGGTCGAGGCCTTTTACGGTGCACCCCATAGGACAGTGCAAGGTGGACATGTGTTAGTCACAACCGCCGGAAACCTTGTAGCCTCCCGAGGGTTTAAGTCAGAGGTTATAGACCCCACGCAATTAGCAGGACTAGGCTTACCCTTGTTACAAGAAGATGACCTGCCACCCGAGCCTTTGGTGGAACCTTCCGGTGATCAAGCTCCAGTAGCAGTGGCGCCGAGCAAGAGACTAAGGAGAAAGTCAAGGGTTGAGTTTGTTGAGTGCGATGAATCTTTGGACCTTGAGAGTTTGGCACGGGGTTATCTTTTAGAAGATGACGTGTCTGACAGCGCGTTCAGGACTATTGCAGAACAGCTTCAGTCTCAAGAGAGATCTTCGGGAGATCGGAGGGGAAACTTTGAAGGCAAGTTTGTGTTGGGTGCCTTTTGTCATGGTGGACAAAGGGGTGTGACTACCCTTGGCAAACGGTTGCCCACAGTGACTAGTTTCCTTAACCACTTCCTGAGAAGGAGGCTGTTGCGGGAAGATGAAATGGGCGTGCCAGGATGGTCCTCAATCATGGTAATGCATGCCAGTGAGATAAGTAAACACAAGGATGTCAGGAATGAGTGGCATTCCTTGAACTATGTGTTGTGCGTTCCTGGTGGATATGACCTTCATGTGGAGAACCTTAAGAGAAGTTCAGGTTCCGAGGAGGCTCAGGCAGACAGTGTGCACTCACTGACCCATGGAGTCGTGAGCTTTGACGCAAGATGCCCTCACTCAGTTCATAAGAGACCCGATTGGTTTATTGTGGGTTACACACCGCTTGGAACGTACAAGTTGAATCCTGATGACAAAACCGCGCTTGAAGGTATGGGCTTTCGGTTGAATAGTTCAAGCCTTCAGGGCGACCCTGGTCAGGTTAAGGTTAGGATGGTTAGGTCTGAGAGCACCGATGAGTCAGAGGTGTCCAGCCATGGAACGTCCGTGCCAGACTTGGAGCCTATTCCCGGAATGCAATCGCAAGGTCAGGCCTTTGGGGAAGGGGGTGTGAGCCAGGTTAGCCTTGAAGAGGATGAGCAGCAAGATTCGTTCACGCCGTATGTGGGTTGGGATCCATCTCAAGGTGAGGGTCACAATTACCCTGCGCAGAATTTAGAAGAAACTGACCTTCAGCAATTCCTTGAGGACAGGGGTGTAGGATCGTCGCTTAGGAGGCTTTTAGCTTTGGGTGTAGAGCAAGCAAGCGACTTGGCGTTCTTGTTCCGGGAAGATTTGATTGAGTATGGGATACCGCCACCAGATGCAGTGCGAATTATGCAAGGCGTGCATCCATCCGGAACGGTGCGTCCCGATAATCCTAATCTTACCTCTCTTACCTCTGGGGAAGTAAGGTTGATAGATAGGCAACATAGACAGCTGCCTTGGGTCATACAAAACAGAACACTACTGCAGAAGCAACCAGTTGTGCCAGTGGCTGGTTTGGGAGTAAAGGACCCAACTCGTGAAGAGGATGATGCATATGACTGGATAGTTAGTGAAGAGCGGAAAAGGAATGAGGAGCGCTGGATAGACTACACCCAGGTGCAAGGAGCTCAGTCGAGTTCCTCCGATGGGCCTCCACCTTTGTGTGCAGAGTCCGTGGTTTTCCCAGCAGCACAGGTCAATCTGTTAGCTGAGCAGCAGCTGGGTGAACAAGGTGGTTGTCATGAAGTCGTTTTGCCTGACTACGAAAGTTACGCAGAGTTTGCAATGGCAATGCAGGCGGTATGGGATGAAGATGAAGTGATAAGTGGACTTGAGGACGATGATGAGGTGCCACAGGTCACAGGTATGATGGAGTCAGTGCATCCACCTTTGTGTGCAGAGTCGGTGGTTTTCCCAGCAGCACAGGTCCAAATTCCCTTAGGGGATTATAGCAGTGTGCCACCAGTGGGGTCAGGTCCAGATGTTTATTGCAGTGTGCCACCAGTGGGGTCGGGTCTTGGGGGTTATAGAGTAGATAGTACCCGAGGGAGAAGCAGTTGGCCACAGATCTCGAGGAGGAGGTATACGATGCAGAGAGCAAACAGTGAGCCAGCCCCAGCTGTGAGAACCCTAAGGACTGAGGATCCTGTGAAAGAAATGGAACCAACCAGCAGCTCTAGTGCAGCACAGGTCCCAAGGCGTATACGTGTGCCGACGCAAGCTAGGGTGTCTCTGTTGGATGTTTGGGAGGATTCCAGTCCCGACAGTGAGCATCTTACTAGGAATAAAGAAATGAGTGAGTTTCCTGAGGTGAAAAGGGTGGATGAAGATTTCTTTACTCCAGGAATTGAAGAACTTCTGAAGGGGCTATCAGCACCATTGAAGGTTGTCCATAATGTGTCCCCTGCAGAAATCAAGAAGCATATGATGGATTGGCGTCCCTCAGCAGTTGAAGAGGTTAGAGCGCTAGAAGAGATGAAAGGGATCCGTAGGCTTCGTGGAAATGAAGCGGTAAGAGCAGCTGCTGAACCTGGAATACAAATACTTCCAGCTAAAGGAGTATGGACGGTGAAGCCTGGAAAGGCGAACCAGCTCTATCGCAGAAAGTGCCGTATCGTAGGATGTGGTAACTATGAAAAGAGGAATCCTGATCATGAACTCTTTGCGGGTGGTGTCCCTGCAGATGTACTCCGCGCTTGTTTGATCCATGCATCGGACAGGGACTTGCAAGCTTGGATTACAGATATAAAGAATGCCTTTTTGTTGGCTCCCATTCCATCTGAAGAAGGTGCAAGGATTTTGCTACGCCCTCCGAAGGTGCTCGAGGAGATGGGCATCACAACGCCTGGAGAACTGTGGGAGGTGACTCGAGCAATCTACGGCTTGCGCCAGTCGCCGCGGTGGTGGAGTATACATCGTGACAGTGTGCTTACCGAGGCAACGTGGTATGGTCCCAGAGGTCGTACGAAGCTTCAACAAAGTTCTGTAGAGGCTAATCTTTGGTCAATGGTGACAGAAGATGGTCACACTGTTGGGCATTTGATTGTCTATGTGGATGACTTGATGTTGCTCGCAAATCCTGGCGACGCGGAAGGACTCTTTGAGTGGATCAAGGGACGATGGGAGTGTACTCCATTACAAAAGGCGTCAGTTGATGAACCAATCACGTTTTTAGGTGTGGAAATCCAGGAGGAGGTGAACTCTGCTGGAAGAAAGGGCTTTTGTTTGAAGCAAGGTGGTTACATCGATGAACTGACGAGGATTTACAACACGCCGACAGTCAATAGGGCTGCGCCATTGCCGAAGGAGTGGGTCAGAGAGCTGCCGGAACCAGACGAGCCGCTCGATCCTACCGTATTAAGGCAGGCACAGAAGATTACTGGAGAACTGTTGTGGATAGCTCAACGTTCGAGGCCGGATGTAGCCCACGAAGTGGGGCTTATGAGCTCGTGGGTGAGTCGGGCACCTACCCTAGTTCACAAACTGGGAATGAGGGTGCTGGAATTCTTGAAGTCTACTCGAGACCTGACCTTATCCATGACGCCGGTACCAGGAGCCCCTTCCGGTGTCGTGGTGTACACGGATGCTTCATTTGCGCCGTATGGAGGTCACTCCATTTCTGGAATTCTTATTCAGTACAAGGGACGAAATATTCTGTGGAAGGCCAAGAAACAGAGTATAGTATGTCTTTCCACAGCGGAGAGCGAGCTGGTTGCAGCTTGTGAAGGTGTCGTCTTAGGACAGAGCACCGAAGCACTCATGAAGGAATTGAGTCCAGAGTTGCAGATGATGCAGCTGTTAGTGGATAATTTGGCGGCCATTGTCATCTCTGAGGGTGGTGGCACGTGTAGAACAAGACATTTAAGGGTTAGGTCTTGCTTTATTAAGGACCTCGTCGATAGGCTTCAGTTGGCTATAAGTCACTGCCCTGGTGATGTTCAGCTAGCAGATATATTGACAAAGGTTTTGGCAGGACCCAGACACCAGTACTTAAGGGAACTCTTGGGTTTAGGCCCTCACCCTCAAGTAGCACAGGTAGCTGCAGTCGGCCCTCTAAGGCCTCAGCAAAGCCAACTTGCACCCGTGGGAAGCAAGCAGTGGATTTGGGCTACAGTTGTTTGGTTGCAGGCTGCATTGTGTGGGTGTACTGAGGAGTCAGATGAGGTTACTCCAATTGGGCCCGAACTATCGATGTTAGTACTGTTGTTGACGTTATCAGTGTTGTTTCTGTGGGAGGCAGGGAAGGCTTGCGTTAGTTCGTGTCGGGTGAGGCGCGAGGAAGCAAGGATTGCTGCCTTCAGGACTGAGGATGATGAGGTTCGTGATCGTAGAGAAAGGCGACAGGAGGCAGTGCGTCGGGCTATTGCTACCGAAACTGAGGGGTTGCGAAGACGTAGGGATGTGACCCTAGAAGCCGCAGATGCCTTTCAGGTTCCACCGCAGCCCTTCGTACATGTGCAGATTGAGGCTCCGAGGCCTCCGCCTCCTCCACCTCCATTTGAATCAGGTCGATCCCAAGATCAACCTACCTTACCTTTCGATGGATTTCGAGATGTCCCTCTGCCATCTACTTCCAGTCAGATTCCTTCTGACCTTCCGATGCCTAGACCTCCTCCCCTGGTACAGAGTACAGGTTCGAGTAGAGAGTCACCGGCTAGGCGTGAAGTAGCTACGCAAACTGACGGACGTAGGGGCATCACGTATGAGGAGTTGCAAGAGATCCATGTTCTTACCTCGACTTCAAGAACACCGGGTGTCGTGCATATTTTCCCGAATTGCCAGGCTCTACGGGGAGTGAACACTCATAGGCGACAGTTTTGTAGGTACTGTCTTCAGGGTGTGGCAAGAGCGGGAATCTAGATTTGACCAAGGGAAATCCTTAAGGGAATTCCCTTGAGGAGGAGTGTAGAATTCCCGCGTCAGGCAGCAGACTTGATAGGTAGAGTTCCACTTCTTTGAGTTGCAGCCGCTGAGGCTAACGGTGGGGCGGAGCCCCATGATCGGCAGAAGCCACCTAGACCATGATCGGCAGAAACCAGCTAGGTCATGATAGGCAGAAGCCAAGCACGCATTTGACAGAGCATGTACAGACGTAGTCTTGATGACACGCACTTTGTCGGTTGAGTGAAAACAATTCGCAATGGAAGCTTCGCGGTCTTAGGGCATGGAGAACCCTAACGAGCAAGATCGTGAAGTTCCTCAGGGTTCTATAAAGGGTTTAGGGTTTCCGAAAATTAGGGGCTAGGATGCCCAGTAGTACCCTTATTCCCTTTTTGTAGTCCTAGGTTCCTTATAAAGTTACCCAATAGCAAAAAGAGAGGCCTTTTTATTCTTAGGTTACTGGGTATCCTAGAGAATGTGTAGGATCTAGGATTTATGGGGGTTAGGTCTTATGTCTTATGGGCTTGAGGGTTTGGGGATTCCGTTTATGTCTTTGGGGGCCCACAACGCAGAAGAGCCGACACGACACAAGAAAAGGAACACCGAAAGAAAAGGCCCCAAATCCTGAAGAGCTTTCTGATCCTGACTTCTTTACGTCAGTGAACAGGGTTTTCAGTAGCGCCCTCAATAGCAAACCGCTGTTTGTGCTGTACACCAAACACCACAATTCTCCTCCATCTACTGATCCGCTGCACCGAACTCCGCAATTGCAGGATCGCCTGCCTTTCTTCATCCTAGAGACTTTGTGATCTGGCCACGTTTGGACTCGGACCTACATTATAGTTCATAGGATAATGGACCCCAAAACCCTATTCTAATTGTTAAGGCCCCTATATTATAGTATCCCTATAGATCCCTTATAGTAAACCCTGAGCCCGTTGGGCGTTAAGAAGTTTACGGGAGAGAGGAGTGGGGGCTTTAATGGTTGAATACGGGTTTGATGACAAAGGGTTTCGGGGTTCAGGGCGTAGGACATTTGTTTCTGGCGCCGTTGAACCGGTTCTGTGAGAAATAAGGAAATAGGATCAACAAAAAGGCAACTATCGGAGGTTTGTGTTGTAGGTGTACCCAGAGGCCCCAAAGTAGTTTCTTTTGGGGGTTCGTATGTATAGAATCCTATAAGGTAATCCCGAAAAGGAACTACTATGGGGCCTCTGTGTAGTCTATTAGTGTTCGAGGTTGAGACTGCGGGGGTGTAGGCTGCAGGGTTGGGAGATTCGGCCGCAATAAAGAAAAACCGGAATCGAGGAGGAAGGAAGAACATACAGGCTTCCGTTTGAAGCGGTGTTTGGAGTAATTATTACAGTGTACTTTTATATACTTACACCGCAAAGTAACATAGTACATGAATGACGAATATAGATAGCAAGGACAGCAGCGACATAAGCCGACCAACAACAGGATGAAGTTCGCAACTTGTGAGGGCGGTCGTGGTTCTTGGCCGCCCAGACCCCGGGGAGGATCCAGAGAGTAGATCCCTTTAAGTCTTTAAGGCGGGCTCCTCTAAAGTAGCCTTTGTAGTGGTATAGGTTCCAAAAAAGGGGACTTTCTAGATCCTCCCGGGTGTCTGGGTACTATCGAGAAGATCACGTGAGGGTTGATAAATTGAACAGCTCCTTCGGTGGCCAACTAAAGGTGTCGGGTGTGCTGGATTTAGACCTAAAGCCCAAACCCTAACTACCTTAACCTCCCAAAACCCCTACAAACAAGTAGGGTCCCTATGAATTCCGTATTAGGGTCTATAAAAAGACCCTACAAACAAGTTTGATAGTTTAAGGTAAACCCTAAACCCCAAACCGTCTTCGGCTATTGACGTGGGGCCCCCGCGTGCCTCACCTCTCCCTTTAATCCCATGTTTTCGAAAGAAGTATTTAGGGACCTTAAGAAGGATTCCTCGAAAGGATCTCTTTAGGGGCTCTGTCATCTAAGAGTTTCGTTGTTCGTTTCAGGTGTACGGATTTCCTTTCGGGCTCCTTCCTTTCAAGGGCTCCTTTATACCCGTAAGCGCTGCACCGCAAACGCTGAATCCTCAAGCCCTTCGAATGACATGAACTCAGAAGGAAGGAACTCTCCCAAAGGGTCCAAGTCCCCAAATAGTAGGGTTTCAAGGTCCAAACACCATTCAGAGTATGGATTTTGGGACCTAAAACCCTACTATCTGGGTACTTGGACCCTCTGGGTCTGGTTCAAGCCCCGAAGCACCGACGACAGCTGAAACCCCAGAGTCTCGCCAACGCTAAACCTTGAAAGGCCCTATACCTATAGTCTGCATTGTAGTTCCTTTTTTTGGTTAACCAGGTTTATGGTTAGGACCCTATAATAGAGATTTTGGTTAACCAAAAAAAGGAACTACAATGGAGACTATAGGTAGTCTTGTAGGGTTCCATGTCATGGGTTCCTTCTGCGTGGATTGAAGCCCCAATGTAGAAGATTACATAACCAGTAACACACACAAATTCCGGGAGGTTAACCGCTAGAGTCTATTCTGCTATGTCCCCAAAGCCTATACAAGCCTTCACTTTCGAACCGAGTCCAGATCACTTAGCTTCTTGTAGCCAGGTTCACGGCGCTGTTCCTTGCGGAGGTCATCATCAGGCACTGCGCTCCAGGGTCTAGGGCTTTTAAATTCAAGGCTCCCGGCTAGGGTTTGGGACCTACCCTACATCGTGGATTCATGGTTAAGTCATTCTAGACCCTAAGCCCGAATTGCTGCACCCCACGCCTTAGAAACACTAGTGGCCGACAAGACACTAACCTTATCCCTCATCGAACTCTCAGAGGAACCCTATAAACCCCACTCCCAAACCCCTTTACCCTGAACCCCTACACCCCGAAACTCCAAACCCCTATAGCCTTCACCCGAACCCGTAAAACCCCTAAGCCGCTAAACCCCAAATCCTTAACCCTAAGGCTCAACATAGCACAAAAGCCTTACATAGTGTGGTCTTTGGGCCCAAAAGCCTTACCTAGGGATCCAAAAACCTACCCTTTGAAGGGTTAGACCCTCTGATTAAGGAGTCATAACCTACTATTTTGTAGGGTTTGGGGATACAGGTAAAATATGAGTCCTTAGAGCCTCAAAGGGTAACCCACGAGGATGCACCATCTTGGCTGGGACTACGCCACAGATCCCTGGAGCCTTGGCCTGGTCTTTTGTTGGAGGATGAGAGGAAGATCGGAGGGAGGGTTCCTTTAAAGAAGGCTTCCTTGGAGGGTTCCTTTAAAGGGTTCCTTCTTGGGTTCCTTGAAAAGGCTCCTTTAAAGGGTTCCTTTAAAGGAATCCTTTAAAGGGCTCCTTCAAAGGATTTCTTTAAGGGTTCCTTTGAGGGGTTCCGTTAAGTTCCTTGAAAGGGTCCATCGCCCATCGCCGCAATTGCTAGCCGCTTCTCAGCAACCCTAGAATTCATGTGTGAATCACTTTCAAGCCCTTCATGGATACCTAAACCCTAAACCCTAAACCCCAACCCTAAACGATAGGCTTCCAACGACGGTCGTGATCAGGCTTTCTCCCAGGACCTGGCCCCTGAAATGCGGAACCATGCAGGCGACGACAACACCCTGCAAACCTGAACCCTAACCCTAAGGTTCAAAATAGCCCAAAAGCCTTATATAGTATGGTCTTTGGGCCCAAAAGCCTTAAAATATGAGTCCTTAGAGCCTAAGGGTCAGCGCTCGGTAAGTGGTTCAGGGTTCAGAGCTTGTCGGTTTTCGGGTGGGGCTTCCCCAAAGGGTCCAAAGTACCAATATGGTAGAATTTAGGGTTTCTATATTAGCAATTGCTATTATGATGTCTGGAAGCATTCCCCATAATGGTACCTAGGACCCTTAGGGTTCGTGTCTAGGGAAAGGCCGAGTAGTCGAACCGAACCGCTGCGTTTCAAGTGCTAGACGTTGATCCTGCACTCGAACGAGCAAGTACATGAGTGGTTGTCAAAATTACGGTTCCTTTTTGCTTACCCTAAAACTCAGGTGCTGTATTATAATAAGGACCCAAACAGGGACCCTAATATTGACAACCACCCACCTGCATCTATCCTCTACCTAGGATGCCCAGTAGTACCCTTATTCCCTTTTTGTAGTCCTAGGTTCCCTATAAAGTTACCCAATACCAAAAAGATAGGCTTTTTTTCTTAGGTTACCGGGTATCCTAGCTACATGCGGTTCCAAGAAGCCTGGCCCAGCTTTCAGATCCCTATCCCAAAGGCTCCATGTACCTTCATAGTAGATACTTAAACCTTAAAGGGGTCCCTATATGAGAGTTTCCGAAAATTAGGGCTACCGGGCTACCCTATTTTGGGCGCCTTATAATAAGGATCCTAGTATTTGGGCTACTATATTAGGGTCCCCTATTTTCGGAAACCCCCATATAGGTACTTTGAGGCCTAAGTATATACTATATCGGTACATGGAGCCTTAGGGAAAAACTTGCAGCATGACGCTTTTGACGATGCGTCAGAGACCTTGCCGAGGAACATCTTTGACTATTCATTGGTGGCCGGGTCCCTACAAGCGTGTTGCATTGCAGCCAAACCCCGGATCACCGTATCGGTCGGGATGGGGTTCATACAGACTTCCCGATCCCGGACCATAACGTCCTGTTCGAATGTAGGGTTTCTACAAGTCTGAAGGGTTCAGAGCGCTGCAGTATTCGGATCCCCACGCCCTGAAACCTCCAAATACCACGCTTGCGGAGAAACGCCAAAACACTGAGTTCCAAACTCCTTCAGGCCTCAAACTTCTAATCCGCTGCTAGCTTCTCGGAGCATCCGGAAAATTCCGCGAAGTGTCTTTTCTGCTAAAAGCTTCTTTCTGTGCCTTGCGATGCATGGGTGCTCGCACCGTGCACCCACAAACAACCGCTGCCCAGAAAAGGTGTTCACACAAAACAGGAAGCTCAACCCGATCAAACAAAAAGGAAACTCATGCGTTCTGTGAACGGATAGCACGCAGGACACGGTTCTGAACCCGAATACCCTGAACTCCCAGATTGTTCCCTAAACCCAGAGTGTTCCCTAAACCCTATAAACCCTAAACTCCCAGATTGTTCCGAGGTGTTTAGCTGGACCGACATGCTCGTCGCCGTGACAGAGGTTGAGTCAGGCGGCTTGCGGCTGGCTCCCTGGCTGGCAAAATCCAAAGGGTCTCGGTTACTCTTATGGGGGATGCTGTCCCAAATCATAGATACCCCAGAGGCTCCAAATATAGTACCATTATGGAATTAGGTCCCAAAAGACCATCCACATCGTGGCTTTGGGGGCCTAATTCCATAATGGTACTATATTTGGAGCTTCTAGGTATGCTTTCTAGCATAGAAACCCTACCTTGAACTATCTTAGGCACTTGGTACTTGCAACCATTTTGGGAACAGACTTTCAGGTTTGGGCGAGGGTAAGGGTAAGTAGCCTACCCAAGCTTACCTGTAGCTCCTTCCCTTGCTTCTACATCCTGCTTCACCATTTTCAAGTCTATAGGAGGAACCGCAAAAAAAGGCTCCCCACAAACGAGGTACTACAAGCCAGGGCTTAGGAATGCGTATGGATAATATTGGGAAACAGACGTCTGAAAGTGTTGTAATGAAATCCAGTTGCATATGGTCCTCATATCATTTTCCTACTACGTAGCCTCGCAACTCTGCTGAAATTGTTGCGGTTCCATCCTCACATGCCATACTGAAGCCTCATCAGTGGGACGGCCGATTTCCTAAACCCCAACAGGTTTTTACCAGGAGCCCCGTGGAACAACATGGACAACCGAGAGATGTTAAACATATCGGATGCACCTTCGCCTTACTCTTGAGTTCTCCTATCCTAGTTGATGGAAACCCTTCAAGCTCTCGAAAATATCAAAACAGAAGACTCCTGAGAGGAGCCTTTCCAGCTCCCCCTTTTGCAGAGCCCCAACCTAAATCCCGAAACCCGGGGGAAGCCTTGGCATAGGCCCTAAGGAGGTCCTCCCCGTTTGAATATCTGAGGCTGCCTCTCTGCGGCTCTTTCGCCTGCTGCGCGTGGTGCGGAGCATTCGCGGCGTGAAGATCCTCTCAGGCCTCGCGCTTAAGGGTTGAGGGTTTAGGACTTTGGGTTTAGGGTTGAGGGGTTTATGATTTAGGGTTTAGGGCTTTGGGGTTTAGGGTCTCGGGCTTAAGGGTTCCTTTGAGGCTTCCTGCAAGTAAGGGTTGCGGGCTTGTAGGGCCTTGAGGTTCGGTTCCTAGACAAGCGCTTTGTAAGGGTTCCTTAATGGATGTGCTAATGAAATTTCTTGTTCAAAGGGCTCCGTTGTTTTTCTGGGCTTGGGGTTTAGGGTTTAGGCAAGTGGCAATGGGTCCTTGGTCTTCCCTTGGAAATCAGGCCGTTGCTGGACACTCCTGAAAACCATCTCCCATTTTGTCTGGACTATGAACCCACGGGTGGATTTACAGTGGTCTAGGGTTTAAGGTAAAAGCCAGAAAGTTGGAATATGATTATCCTAACCCTTCTATGGTAAATTTTGGGGTATCCTACCATGAAACCATATTCCAACTTTCTGGAGTTCCCTGTAGGGTTTAAGCAACCCCCGAAACCCGAAACCTCGAGACTGATGGCATCTGATGGCTCCTGCTCTGGGTTTGCGGCGGCTAGGGCTTTAGGCTTATAGGATTTAGGGTTTATAGGGTTTTGGGTTTATAGGCAGGGTTTAAGGTTTGGGGTTTAGGATTCAGGGTTTCGGGTTTAGGGTCTCGGGTTTAGGGTTTGGGGTTTAGGGTTTAGGGCTTCGGGTTTAGGAGTTTTGGGCTCCAGGGTATTGGGGGTTTGTGCAAGCTCGGGACTTCGGGCCGGCAGCGCGAAGAATGGAGTTTTTTTGGGGCAGATTGCGGATTTTTGGGGTGTTGGCGAACCTTAGGGGGGGTGGAGTAAGGCTTTCTTCGCCCGAAATATCCTCGCTACGATTCAGAGGCTTGCTTCTGTGGGCATCTCAGGGCTTAAGGTTTGGGTTTGGTGTAAGCATGTGCGTCAAAGTGCCCAGATCGACCCGCTGCCACGACACCCAGAGACTCCAGTATCCCTTAACTAAGGAGTATACCTTAAATCATATAAGGGATCCTACTATAATTTAAGGTATATTTCTTAAATTAAGGGATATTGGAGTCTCTGGGTGCAGCCGGCTAGACACCCACTGCGTTTGCTAGCAGCCGCAGGTAAGTCGACTACATCCTCGACCCCAACCTCTCATAGTAGTAGAGTAGGTAACCTTTAAGCCTTTTTGGGGTAGTATAGTCCCTATATAATCAAAAAATAGCCTTTAGTTCTCCATGATACCCGACAAGTAGGCTCCATATCCCTAAACCCGAAACCTGGAAGCTGCCACTAGCGACTCCCAAGCTTCCACATTGAACCCCACACGATCCCTACAGTAGAAGCCCAAAAGTTGGAAACCCAATAGCCTCGATCCTTAAGAGCAATGATATAGGGAATCCCAGCACTATTTGGCCTAAATCCGGTGTCCAACTTTATGGGGTTTACTGTACAGTGCAGAACTCTCAACAGCATAAAGGCATACGTAAAGCGGCCCAAAGCACTTGCTGCATGAAGCCCTGAACCCTGTGATGCTTTAGAGTTTATATGGGAGTTTCCGAGATTTAAGGGTACCTTCTTTTTGGGGGTCCTTTTAGTAAGGATCCTGCTATTCAGGGTACCACATTGGGTTCCCTATTCTCGGAAACTCCCATATAGGATTCTCTGCAAACCAGAAGCCAGAGAATAGGGCCTGCGAGAGTCAGAGTATGCTTTTTTGGCTAGGATGCCCAGTAGTACCCTTAGAGATCTATAAGGGTTCCTTAAAGGGATCTATAAGGGTTCTATAAAGGGTTTAGGGTTTCCGAAAATTAGGGGCTAGGATGCCCAGTAGTACCCTTATTCCCTTTTTGTAGTCCTAGGTTCCTTTTAAAGTTACCCAATACCAAAAAAAAAGGCCTTTTTATGCTTAGGTTACTGGGTATCCTAGTTGGTATATTGTAGTACGATGACGGCGTAGGGACCGTAACGGCGATGTCACTGTTACTCACCATTCACATCCATACAATTAAGTCTTGCAGGACTTTGGCTTGTCATCCAGGGACTGCTGGATTCCTACAAGACGGTGCTGTGGATAGGCTCGGAGAGTACGGGCAGACCCCAAACCGTTATGGTTGGTGGTTTAAGGTCCATATAATTCGGTTGTCGGGTCAGGGCTGCCGGTTGTTGTTGCCATCTTTTGCTGAGTGCATATCGCGAGAAAGGAGTGGCATACTTTGGGTTTGGGATTCAGCAGCCAAGATACGAGAGCTGTAGAAGCTAGGGCAGCTGGGGGATGTTAGTACTGGTTGCACGGGCCCGTGTATGAGTCCAGAAGGTGCCGATACTCTGCAACAGATGTTTTTTCTCGCTACCTGTCATGCGTATTTGGTGCGCCTGTAACGGTATTGGAGGCGTAGTTTGTCCGCACGGTGTTTTTGGGCAACTACTCAGCAGCTCAAACTGCGCGATGTCTTTGTGGATGAGATCGATGAATGCCTTAATTTATACGGACCCAACAAAAAAGTAGGTTTCGGTGGGTTAGAAGTAGAGAATATTGAATCTGTACTCCAGTCGCAGTCGATCGCATTGCTGCATGTCTGCGCGGCGCGGTGCGCGACAACTTGTTAAAAAGCAGTTTAAGAGACCCCGACGCAAGTAGTATTGAAGCCTTATAACTGAACATTCCCGGATACCTTATTCTATTTGCTAAGGCTCCTACTCATAGTCTGCCGCAGATCTGAGTCCTTCAGCTTAAGTCCCAGTAGTTTCCATAAGCCGGAATCAATGCACTAAACTTCCGAAACCCTAAACTCCACGATGGGTGCCGGAGTTGGTATCCCCTAGCCCGGAGCCAGGGATCAGAACAGGGGGAGTTGGCTCAGAATGTCGCCTTTTTTTGCGTTTTAACCTTATGGCCTGTGCTGTCGTCACCCAGAAGCGCACCCTAAATCCTGTAAAACATAGACCCTACGTAGACGCTCAACCCAGAAGTGGACCCCAAATCCCGTCCCTGCAGCCTTCGCTGTGGCTCGGCTTTGGGTGAGCCGATGATGCTCTGGACGCAGGGGGGGAACCTAGTGTACATGTATGTATATGTTTTTAGAATTCTGTTACTCGCATGTTCATTTCATGCATACGAAACGACTATATAAGTGTTGTGTGTGTGTATGTGCGTATGTGAAAAGTATCATCTGCCTATATCCGTCTATGGATCTCTACCTCTATCTATTTGTATCTATCTGTCTAGAGATACTATGTACGTATATATGTATGTATCTACGCATGTATGTAGGTAGGCCGGTATGTATGCATGTATGCACGGCGCGAAAACAGTAACCTACTCTAGAAGGTAGCTGCGCTTCTTGCGGCAAGAAAGGATTCGTGGTGCCGGGGCTGGTAGCATGGGTTTGGCATTCTCTTGTGAGGGGTTCTGGTCAGTGCACGATTTCATTATGGGGCCCAGCAGGTTTTGGTTAGTGGATATGAATACATGTCTCAATATTTTGGTGATGATATCCTTTCAGAATTCCCATGTAATTTCCTATGTAAACCACCAAAATCATCTAGGGATGAGGGCTACCTTCCAAGGGTTGGGGTCGAAGCGGAAGGAGGTTCGAGAATTGTTAAGGGCATTTTAGGGTTTAGGGTTTGGGGCAAAAACTCTGAAGGCGAGCGATAACAGCTCTTGGGCCCTGTGGCTACTGCAGCTGAGAGGTCGCTGCTGTTAGGGCTCCGGCTCCAAAGTATCACTTATCACCGGTTGTAAGGCGTGAATACTGACTAATCTATATCCACTACCTTGAGCTCTAGTCTCTGTCCAATAAAAACATAGGAGTCGCAATGATTACCCATAGCGTTCCTTGGGGGTCCTATCTATATATATATATACACACACACCGTAAAACTGCCTCCAGACCCTTTTCTGATCATTGAGGCCCCTCCCTAAACCCTATGTTTATCGTGTCTTGCCACCAAGATGGCGATATTTATCTTCTGCTTCGGGGCGGCGCTCTGCGTACTGGCGTCTCACCTGCTCTTTTGTTTGTGGGAAGGTTAGGGTTTAGGGTTTAGGGAGGTTTGGAGATGTTCGTTTAGGGTTTGGGTTTTAGGGTGGAGGGTTTAGGGATGTTTCGGGTTTGGAATTCTGGGATCGAGGTTTCAGCAATGAATCGTGTTTTCTGGTTTTCGGACTTGAGGATGTGTCGAGGTGCTGGGGCTCAGTTTTGGCTACGGATCGCCGTACCGGTTTTTTCAGGGTATACCGTAGCACTAGTTATTCCACAACCCTACCTCTTAAAACCTGGAAGGAACCGTTAAGCAGAATGCTATTCGCCTATATTGCTGTTTCGTGATAGGTTGGGTTTTGGGACAGGGCCGCGGGCTCAAAAGACTCTCTAAGCTTCGCATTTTGCCGAGGGCGGACAAGATCGCTTCGCCTTCGAGTACTGGCGCCTCGCTAGCATCGAGAACCCGGGAGACTCCAATATCCATTCTTGTAAAGGTCCATGTATCCAAAAAGTATGTACGTTTGCCTTAAAGTAAACCCTATAGAATAATAGGTACTCTGGGGTCAAAGTATATATACTAGTTGGGTGCATAGACCCTCCAAGAAGGTATTCTGCAATTGAGAGACGTGGCAGTCACTGAGAAGCACTCGGGGTGAAGACACGGGGTGCTGTTTGGAAGCCGTTTGGTTGGCTTTTGGGCTTTGAGTTTGGGTATGTCTGCGTGACATAACCGCCCCGCAACCCGCAGCATTAGACCGAGTTATCACCTTGACAAGTATGCAGTTTCAATTATGCAAGCTACGTGGTCAGCCCTCTGCACTCCAAGTTGGTGGCTTTGTCTCGCATCCCGGCGACCGCAAAGCCCAGCCCCCAACTAGGTTTGAGGCTTAGAATCCCTTAATTAAGGAATATACCTTAAATCATATAAGGGATCCTACTATAACTTAAGGTAGTATTCCTTGATTAAGGGGTATTGGAGTCTCTAGAGTTCAGGGTTCGAGTTAGGGGTTAGGCCAGGGTTCAGGGGTTCGTCGGTTTAGGAGAAATCCCAAACCCGGAGTCCCTAAACCCTAAACCCGGAGTCCCTACACCCTACCTTAACCCTGAAGAACCTACATTTTTAAGGACTTATATAAAGATATCATAATAAGGAACCCTAAAAAGGAAGGTTCTTCAGGGTTAAGGTAAACCCTAAACCCTGAACCTCTAAGCCCGGAGTCCTCCCAAGAGGTATTTGCAACCCATGTATCTCGGCTCCGTTCTGCGTGCAATGTTTACGACTCTCCAGGCCGGGGGATCTAGGGCTTATGGCTTTGGGTTTAGTGGGTTTATATGGGAGTTTCCGAAAATAAGGGGTACCTTATTTAGGGGTCCTTATAATAAGGATAATACTATTTGGGATACTACATTGGGGTCCCCTATTTTCGGAAACTCCCATATGGTTTAGGATTTTGGGTTTCTTTAGGCGTTTCGGAATTTAGGGGTGTTGGGTTTTCCTGGGTTTCGGGGGAGCAAGAAGCTGTGTAGTGGGTTCAGAGTTTCGTACTTGGGGCTAGCAGCCCTGCTTCTTTAGCACTTTTTTTGGGAGGGGGCTCCTGTCCACAGACCTAGGCAGCGTCTAGATAGGACGTAGCACTTCTTGTTCACCCAAAAGCTCTGATCCTGAACCATTCTGGAATTCGACATGCACAGAAGACATCCCACTTCCCAAACCCTGAACCCTGAGCGGGCCAAAGGCGATACCCATACCGGAAAGGCTGTTACACCAGGCACATGTTTAGATACCCCATAAGACTGTGAATTCGGCTGCCCTTCAGATGGACCTTTTTCTGCGCAGGTGTCCTTGACAGGGCTTCGGGTTCAGGGCATAAGGCTTTGACCGACTCTGTGTGTGTCGCTTGTCAGACCGAAGGCTGACTGAGATTGCCGTCGGTGTTGCTCAGGCTTGTTATGCAAAGGATCCGTGTACCCAACTAGTATCTACTTTGGCCCCAAAGTACCAATATGGGAACTACTTTAAGGCCTCAGTATATACTATTTGGGTACAGTGGATCCTTTGGGTTATGCCATAGATACGTGACGTGGCAGTTTCTGGAAAATTAGGGACGCTGCCATGGTTATGATCCGCAGACATGGTTTTCGTTTGGGACCCCAGCAACTTCACAAAGGGAACCTGCCTTAAACCCTGAAGCCCTAAGCCCCAATACTCTCCCCATCCCCCTCCTTTCCCGGTAAGCTGCTGAAGAGGTGGCGACCTTCGATGACTGGGCCGATAGCGTGGCGCGCCCTCTTTTCCGGGCCTCTTGGACGCTAGGGTTTAGGATGTATTCGAAATATAGGGTCTTTAGGATTTAGGGTTTAGGGTTCAGGATGTATTAGAGATTAGGGTCTTCAGGGTTTAGGGCTTAGGATGTATTGGACATTAGGGTCTTTGGGATTTAGAGGTTTTGGGTTGGTTAGGGTTTAGGATGGATTAGGGTGTAAGGTCTAGGGATTATGTTCAAAGTTTCGGGTTCAGACCAGGACCCGGACACTGCAGGACTTTAAAACGGGTGGCAGGATGAAGTTGATTATGCTCAAATATGCTACCCCAAACCCTGTTCTGTTGTTGGTATTTCCCGCTTATCTTTGACAGAGGCCTCATCAGTCTGGAATATTGGGTCGTTGGGGGGGGGGGGGGGGGTAACGGCTGCAAGCTTCCAGAGTTCAAGGTACCAGGCCGGCTTCTGGCAGAGTGCTTTGGGGTTGTGGGTTTAGGGGTTTAGGTTCTCATTGGTTGCTTCCTTAAGAACTTAAGAATAGCATGTGACCTCAATCTGCACCCTCGGCTGCCAATGCTCCAGTCCAAGACCCGATACAGCTCTCCAAACAACTGCAACTTCAATAGCATGCTTGTGGGACCCCAAACTCAAAAGAACGCCGCAACTTCTTACACCCTCAAGTTTTCAACCCTGATCCGCGAGCTTGCTCTCCGAGGTGGCTCCCATGGCGGGCCCGGCTGTGTTTCTACTTATCTTTGCCAGGGCCTCAGTTCGAGAAAGCGCTGTCTGATGAGGGTTCGAGGTTTCATGTTTTAGGGTGTAAGGCTTTGGGCTTCATGGTTTCAGGGTGTCGGGCAAACACTCCCCGCTTGTTTCAATGACGCCACTTATCACAGAACGGTTTTCCAGAAAACAGCACTGACATCATCCCTGCCTTTCAACACCTATTTTGAAGGGGGAGGTCCAAGAGAAGGAGCAAGAGCAGGAGAAAGAGCAAGAGCAGGAACAACAGCAAGAGCAAAGGCAAAAGCAAGAGCGCGAGTAAGAGCAAGCGCAAAAGCAAGGCAGGATCAAGAGCAAGAACAGGAGCAAGAGCAAGAGCCGCAGCAGGAGCAAGAGCAAGACCAGCAGCAAGAGCAAGAGCAACATCCCAAAGAGATACGAGGGATAAAGTCGAGTTTCTATCAGGGGGAGGTGGTTTCTAACAGTGGGTTCTAGATTCTAGAGATTTGGTGCAAGGGACTTTAGGGGTCTGGAGGTTTAGCTCAGCGCCTAAGGCTTTTTTTTGCGCATGTCGGACTCCGGTCCATGTAGGCCTGAATAATTAGAATAGGGTTTTCTCAGACCCCCAATACCTAACCTTTAATTTTTTGGGTTCTTATAGTTTAGTAGGAATCGGAAAGTTTAACCTTGTACTTCTGTGGCCTGTTGGGGTAGTAAGTTTGGGGGGCTTCTAACAAGCTATAGTATAAGATGGCCAAATGTAGGTGCTACTGATGGACTTGAACGCTTGGTTCGGTACTACCTGTATACCTGGAGGCGCAGTAACCCGAAGCAGAGCTAACCGAAAGCTCTCAAACCTGAACCCTGAATACCAAACTCTGAGTACTACATAAAGCAGCGCTTTCGGTCATGTAGCGATGTCGACTTCAGCATCAACAGGTGATCAGCTTCGGCACCCTCAACATCTTGGTGGCGGCACCTGGCCTCCAACTGAAGCATAGGGTTTAGGTAACCTTTATCGCTCTTGTGTTGCATAATTCCTACCAAGAGAAGCAGCATTTGTTTTTTCTTTTGGGAGGGGTTCAATGACCCGGCTGTCCCAACTGGAAAGCCGCCACGGAGAATGGGGCTGCACGCAGAACCAAAACTACCACAGCTAAAGTTGTAAGCCAGGATTGCTGGCAATCGTCGCTGCCCATTAACATGTCCAGTAAGGGCCAGCTCGCCACTACAATGGACTCGTAGGATCGAGGCAAGCTTCTTTTGAGTCTGGTGCTTTCTCATTTTTATGTTCGGGGTTGCAAACGGGATATGAAGGCCTTGCCGTGGACATCCTGGACGCGAGGCCCAAATGCCTCAGGCCAAGATTCCAAGCAAACTGAAGAACAGTACGATTTACAGACTCGAAGCCCTAAACCCTAAAGACAAGCCTTTTAGGCAGGCTCGACTTACTCATGCTGAGCAGAAAGAGTCAGTGCACTTAAAAAAAAAACCTAAAGACCCAACGTATGTACTGCTTGGAATCTTAAGGAAACCGGAACCCCACATGCCTGAACAACACCTCCAGACATGCAGAGCAAAGAGGCTCCACCGTCCTAAACATGAAAAACTAGGATGCCCAGTAGTACCCTTATTCCCTTTTTGTAGTCCTAGGTTCCTTATAAAGTTAACCAATACCAAAAAGAGAGGCCTTTTTATTCTTAGGTTACTGGGTATCCTAGTAAATATGTAAAATCTAGCCTTGAACATCAGGGTTCACCTAAACTAAACCCAGGATTTCCCTAAATCCCAAACCCTAACAAAACAAGACCCTGAACCTAAAGCCCTAAACCCTGAACGCTCCTGTAAAGCCCAAAGCCGTTACAGATCCCTTTTCGTGGGACCCTTCTAGATCCCTTTAAAAGAGCCCTTACCCTAAGGCTCAAAATAGCCCAAAAGCCTTATATAGTATGGTCTTTGGGCCCAAAAGCCTTTAAATATGAGTCCTTAGAGCCTAAGAATTACAGATCCCTTTGAAGGACCCCCCCCCCCCCCCGTGTGCGGCTTAAATGGGGTATTATCGCCAGCTGAAACTGTGGGTTTTCACGCCTATAGTATTTAATATAGACAGGCAGATGGCGATTATATCCTGGGTCTGTTCGGTGGATGGTCCCGGGCCCGAATTAAATAATTTAAATAATTTAAATAAAATAATTTAAATCCTGGGGAGGGGGTCTGGGGGGGGTTCCGGGGCCCCGGGACCCTCCCCCAGGATTTAAATTATTTAAATTATTTAAATTATTTAAATTATTTAATTGGGGCCGGGAATTAAATAATTTAAATAATTTAAACAATTTAAATAATTTAAATAATTTAAATCCTGGGGAGGGGGTCTGGGGGGGGTTCCGGGGCCCCGGGACCCTCCCCCAGGATTTAAATTATTTAAATTATTTAAATTATTTAAATTATTTAATTGGGGCCGGGAATTAAATAATTTAAATAATTTAAATCCGGGGGCCTCCCCCATATTTAAATTATTTACATTATTTAATTGGGCCCGGGAATTAAATAATTTAAATAATTTAAATAATTTAAATCCTGGGGAGGGGGTCTGGGGGGGGTTCCGGGGCCCCGGGACCCTCCCCCAGGATTTAAATTATTTAAATTATTTAAATTATTTAAATTGGGGCCGGGAATTAAATAATTTAAATAATTTAAATAATTTAAATCCTGGGGAGGGGGTCTGGGGGGGGTTCCGGGGCCCCGGGACCCTCCCCCAGGATTTAAATTATTTAAATTATTTAATATTTAAATTATTTAATTGGGGCCGGGAATTAAATAATTTAAAATTAACTTATTTAATTGGGGCCGGGAATTAAATAATTTAAATAATTTAAATAATTTAAATCCTGGGGAGGGGGTCTGGGGGGGGTTCCGGGGCCCCGGGACCCTCCCCCAGGATTTAAATTATTTAAATTATTTAAATTATTTAAATTAAATTATTTAATTGGGGCCGGGAATTAAATAATTTAAATAATTTAAATAATTTAAACAATTAATAATTAAATAATTTAAATAATTTAAATCCTGGGGAGGGGGTCTGGGGGGGGTTCCGGGGCCCCGGGACCCTCCCCCAGGATTTAAATTATTTAAATTTTTTTAATTATTTAAATTATTTAATTGGGGCCGGGAATTAAATAATTTAAATAATCTAAATAATTTAAATAATTTAAATAATTTAAATCCTGGGGAGGGGGTCTGGGGGGGGTTCCGGGGCCCCGGGACCCTCCCCCAGGATTTAAATTATTTAAATTATTTAAATTATTTAATTCCCGGCCCCAATTAATAATTTAAATAATTTAAATAATTTAAATAATTTAAATAATTTAAATAATTTAAATAATTTAAATCCTGGGGAGGGGGTCTGGGGGGGGGTTCCGGGGCCCCGGGACCCTCCCCCAGGATTTAAATTATTTAAACTATAAATATTTTAAAATTGGGGCCGGGATTAAAAATAATTTAAATAATTTAAATAATTTAAATCCTGGGGAGGGGGTCTGGGGGGGGTTCCGGGGCCCCGGGACCCTCCCCCAGGATTTAAATTATTTAAATTATTTAATTGGGGCCGGGAATTAAAAAATTTAAATAATTTAAATCCGGGGGCCTCCCCCATATTTAAATTATTTAAATTATTTAATTGGGGCCGGGAATTAAATAATTTAAATAATTTAAATAATTTAAATCCTGGGGAGGGGGTCTGGGGGGGGTTCCGGGGCCCCGGGACCCTCCCCCAGGATTTAAATTATTTAAATTATTTACACTATTTAATTTATTTAATTGGGGCCGGGAATTAAATAATTTAAAATTAACTTATTTAATTGGGGCCCGGAATTAAATAATTTAAATAATTTAAATAATTTAAATCCTGGGGAGGGGGTCTGGGGGGGGTTCCGGGGCCCCGGGACCCTCCCCCAGGATTTAAATTATTTAAATTATTTAAATTATTTAAATTATTTAAATTATTTAGATTATTTAAATTATTTAATTGGGGCCGGGAATTAAATAATTTAAATAATTTAAATAATTTAAATATTTTAAATCCTGGGGGAGGGGGTGTGGGCGGGGTCCGGGGCAGGGAGTTAAATAATTTAAATATGGGGGAACCCCCTGGATTTATATTAATTAATTCCGGGGGTCCCGGCCCTTTTCCAGGATTTAAATTATTTAAATTACTTAAATGGGGCCGGGAAGTAAAACCCCACCTACCCTCCCTCACCCATCCCTGCCACCCACCGACCCTCAGCGCCCACCCAGCGTCCCAACCCCCACCCCCCTTTCTCCCACTTCACACTCCCTCCACCTGCTGCCCACCCTACCTCCCAAACACCCTCCCACCACCCTCTCACCCACCACTTCAAGGGCTAGGGATCCCACACATCTGCGGGCAAAATCTGGCGGAAGTGATCCGCCACCGAGCAAAAAGCCTGTAAACCAACAGATGTGCGAAATCCGTGGCCCTTTGTTTCATGCGGTATTTACAGGCTTTTTGCTCGGTGGCGGATCACTTCCGCCAGATTTTGCCTGCAGATGTGTGGGGTCCCTGGCCGTTGTTTTGACGCGGTATTTACAGGCTTTCTGCTCGGTCGCGGCTCGCAGGGATTAGGGGACACCCCTTGCGATTTGTGATTTTGGAACTTATTTGTTATAACAACCTTTAGGGGGAACACCACGACTTGCGATCTGTGATTTTGGGATCTGAGTTCTTACACACCTTCCCTCCACCTCCTGCCCACCCTACCTCCCAAACACCCTCCCACAACCCTCTCACCCACCACTTCAAGGGCTAGGGATCCCACACATCTGCGGGCAAACTCTTGCGGAAGTGATCCGCCACCGAGCAAAAAGCCTGTAAATACCGCATTAAAGACAGGGCCAGGGATTTCGCACATCTGTTGGCAAAATCTGGCGGAAGTGAGCAGTCGGTACTTCCGCCAAAATTTGCCAACAGATGTGCGAAATCCCTGGCCCTTTGTTTAATGCGATATTTACAGGCTTTTTGCTCGGTGGCTGATCACTTCCGCCAGATTT